TATAATTTCCTCCAATACTTTATTTTTTTTTTGAAGAATAAATTTATTTTAGGCAAAGGAAAGAATTAATATACATAGTTCAGAATTTTAAATCCATCTAGCAGATATTGGCAGTCATGATGATGAACAAAGATTATTTCTGTTATGCCTAAAAATATAAGGGCTGACGTCAGGTCCATTCAGCCCACAAAGGTCAGAGCATTGGAACAACCACCGCCTGCTTCCGTCAGGATAGTGGGTGCCCGTCAGGCCAGTCAGGAGCTGTGGTGCTCCCACGTGTCCAATCCTTGCTCTAAATTACGCAAATCACTCTGGAAGGTGGACAATGTGACATAAAGAAGGATTTGCATGGATAATCCCACCAACTTTCAGATTTAGTGATCATTGCCTCAATGTATTCCACTATAAATTGGGAGCTCCTCTCTCATTAAAGGGGATTGACACAGTTTACGCTTGATTAATTATTCTCTCTTTCCCTAGAATTCTTAGCACTTGATACCTTGTAATATTATTGTAAAGTCAGTCAGCTAAAAGCGACCTGACCCTTATCATCAATACAAGCATCAGTGGACGTAGGATTTGCTATCTTAGTATCCGAACCACTTTAAAAACTGTCCCCATTGCATTTACTATCTCATTATCCATCACATTCACGTGTGTCTTCTGGGTCAGCTTAGCATTTTACACGTGCATTTCATTGGTGTAAAAATCACGCATCAACAATTTCAATCTCGAGGATCATTTACATGTAATAATGGAAATAAAGAACTGAATTATTTTGGTAAATTAAAGCAAATACATCACGTAAAATTTACTACAATGAGATTACAATGAGGTAATTATATCATTATATTTGTTTTTAGCATATGAAAAAAATGATAATATTTAAAGGAAGTAACTAATGATAATAATCATATAAATGATTTCAATCAACAGATAAGGATGAAGATTTTTTTATTAATTATTTTGCGGTTGAGCTTGAAACATTAAGGAGTTATATAAATTATTAAGAAAGAAATTTATTGGAGCCTTACTACAATAATGTTAATTAATACTATTCATTTGCAAGCTATACTCACTTTAAAAATAAAAAACTGGCTGTTTGACTATGTCAAAATTGTTAGTGTTAATGTTAATGTTAATTACAACAATGTCTATGTCAATGACGTTAATTAGTACTACAATAATGTTAATGTTAATTACAAGTTCCTTTTTTATATGCTTTTTAATCAAGGCCTGCAGGCCAATATTGTCTTATTTCTCTCATTATAATTTTTTTTTTTTTTTTTTTGAGTGAAGCTCTAGATAAATGAATAAAAACCAGAAAATAAAAAGAAAAAAACCGCTCCAATAAGTAAGAGAGGTCGAGCACTCATTATCCTAGAACAATAACACTAGGGACACCGAATTCTTTACACCGAATTCTTGTACCGGCCGATTATTCTTATTTAATGCATGAAGGTTTATCTAGTTTATGTGGTCCAATTTGTGTAGGGGAGGACAGGAAATTTATGTTGGGGGTCAAGTGTAATATTTAACAAATTAAAGGTGTTAGAGAAGAATGCATTTAGAAAGTTATATTACTATTACTGTTAGGGCGCTAAGGTTAGTTTAACTAATAAGGGGTCTAAAGAAAAATCGAATACTTAGGATAGAAATTATTTCTATACAAATTAAGCTTTTCGTGGGCTTGGATGACCATGGGCATCCTGGGCCTACACAAAGCTTGGCCTTCTTGTCATATCAGGTTGTAGTAATATTATGAAAATGATTTTTTATTTATTAAAAAAATTATAGAAATCATAAATATATTTTAGAAAAATTAGGTAACAATATATTGCTAAATAGTATACAATTGGTTCATGTTTTGTTTTATCTTTATTTTATTTTGAAGTTTTATTTTTCTCATTGGAATTTGTTTGCTAATAATGAAAATTTTTCTACGCGATGTATGATCATACACCAATTAACAAAGATGTGTCACTGTGTATAATATACATGTGTCTTTATAAATAATTGTATGTCGATATGTTACATTTAAGATTTTTTTTAATGTTTTAATTTTTTTTTCTTTTCTAACTCTTATTTTTCATTGCGTGGCAGCTTCGGATACATGGGGAGCTTGAATACTCATTGCTAGTGAGTGCTGATATGGAGGAATCAAACCAGATTTTGGATATGAAATGAAATTAATGAAATAAGTTTTATTAATAATTTAGTTGATTTATAGAAAATATTGAAATCTCAAATTTATAATAAATTTAATAAACATTGAATACCTATGACGTAAACGTCCTGAAATTTGTATTAATGTGAAAATCATTCTCATAATGACTTGAAATTTAATTCTCTCCAATATTACTTATAATATTGTGAAAATCAATTGGGAGATGCAGAGACATAAGGTGACGAGTATGTATGGTTCTATGAAGCATACCACAACCATAATATTATGGAGGCATGGAGAAAGAGTTAAATGAATATTGATATTTAGTTCCTCAATGGAATTATCATTGTATTTGCTTTGATCGTATATTTCCCAACAATGGATATAATTGATACAGTTGCACTAGTTACAACTAGGGTGTTGATATAATATGATGGTCAAGTGATTTTGACGGAATGTTTGGTTCTTGGATTTGTTTAGAAGGTAGTAAATTTAAAACTAGACTATTAGACAGAAAGTGTATTGATTTGTATAGAACATATGGTCAATTTAGAATCAAAAGTCTCGAAAAGATATATTAATTTGGGATTAATGTTGGTCATTAAAGTCCTCATGGTTTGAACATATCTCAATATTTTCGATAATGGGTTGCATTTCTTAAAATCTTGAATCATAATAGCGTACACTAGATATGATCCTCGACTTATATGACTACAATACCTAGAGTCAACCTACTCCAAGAAATTGTGTCACACCGACCTGTCTTCTTTCCTTCTCCTCCACTGCCAATCAATTGCACAAAGAGTGAATAAAAGTGAAATTAGATTATTCGTGTTGATATTTTTTCAAATTTATATTATGGTGACACATTTTGTCATGTGACATTTTTCTTTATTGTCTATCCATCAAGTTTATTTTGATTCATGATATTTTTGTGAAAGTAACTTTACATATGTCCAATTTCCTTGTGATTCTAAAAGGTTGTAAGACTTTGTCCGTGATCATGTAAGAAAGAGAAAAAATATGTTTGTGGTCCAACAAAAAGTTGGAATTTTTTGTCCTCCACTGTTTAGCTATGTCAAACTTATACCTTTTGCATTTTCATTTCATGTATGTTCACAGTGGATGTGTGCTTGCACACTTATGTCAGCATATCATGTTGCATTTCATTTGCATTTTACTTCGTGTGTGTGCCACACCTTTTTGTTGTGTTAACATCGCATGTTTGACTTATTTTTCATAATTGAGTTTTTATCCTTAACAGCTAAGATATTTTTTGCATTTTTGTGTGTTCATTTGCACCACTTACAGTGTCTAATATCCTTTAGTGGTCTAAAAAAATCAACATTTCTCCTTTTAGTTGTGGTCCCACAGATAGATGAAATCTTTCTATTTTTGGACTAACATATGTCAGCCCTTGTTTGTGACTTGGCAAGAATTAGGAAGCATGAAATTGGTCTATATCTTCTTCATTCTTGCTCCGTTGTATTGCAAACATTATATCATAGAGTGTTTGACATTTAATTCACTCCAATATCTCAACTTGACATACTTTTTTGTTGAAAATTTGTTTAGATGGACGTCTTTGACAATCTAAATGAAGATTATAAGGGGTTAGTTTGTGCAATGGTTAGGATTTTCAGTAACGCTATTAAAAACAAGAATTAAAAATCGAATTGGTCACCATCTCTTAAAATTAATGGATTCCATGATGAAAATTAAGGAAATTGAAAGAGCTCAACATTTTTTATTCCTCAAATGAAATTTATCATTATATTTGCCTTGAGCATATGACAAAAATGAGTTCTACACATCCTCTTTTTGTTTCTACATGCCATGGTTATGGTATAATAGATATCTCGAGTAATTCATGATTCATCATACGATTATTATTACTTATTAGCTTTCTAGAATGATCTTAAGTCAATTCAATTATTGGTTTTATTTCTTATGAGCTTTCTAGAACTATAAGATATACAATAAATACATAATAATAACATATAGATAAATGATAAATCATGTCTCTTATCAACATACGGATATATAATTAATTAATTATATGAAGACCTACAGTAGGGGAAAAAAAAAACAATGAAATATTAAATCTTCATTTCCTCCATGTACAACGAACACGTCTCTTATGTAATTAATTACTTATCCATGAATATACGAATTAATTGTTAGTTAAATAAATGATTGCGTGAATTCAGTTTCTAAGACTCAAGACTTTTCAATGAATTTGAGAGACAGTTACCGAAAAATATATGATTAATTTGTATAGGATAAAGAGAATACCCTTCATCGCTATCCTTAATAAACAAAGTTTACTCGATTTCTTGATCAAGAAACATGTTAATGTTCACACATAGGCTATGACTAAACTTATTAAACTCATCTTTCTTGAAGTGGAATCAGCTAATTAATTAATTAATTTCATCTCTATCTTTAGTTTTAAATTCAATTTATATGGGCGGTACGTAGAGTTTGCCAAATCCAATTTCACAGCCAGAGTCACCATGATAAACGGGTTTGAATATAACAATCTTAAACATCATGTAATATGAAAAAGGTGTCACAAGAAAAATATCCTCTGATATTAAAATTTACATATTTATATGTTCATCTTGAGTTTGAAAGAAACACACGCAAATAATCTTTGAAAAGTCCTATGGAATATAGCATACGTCTTCTTGTAATTCAAAGTCTAAATCTATCTTAGAAGAGCACTCAAGAAACCGCCTAGATTTGAAGTTGACAAATAAATATATTAAATTATAAAGCATACTTATATAAATTGTTGAAGCTCCAAAGCAATTTGTCCATACAAACAAAACCAATAAAATTTTCCTGAATCTGAGTATGGATCCCAAAACTTTTCCATTGTTCATTTTCACGCTCATTTCGCTTCTTCAACTGCACTTATTAGCCGGACAAGATGCTGTTAGAGCTGGCTACTGGTTTCCAGGGAGTGAATTTCCAGTTTCTGATATAGATTCCACTCTCTTCACTCACCTTTTCTGTGCTTTCGCTGATCTCGATGCCGAAACCAACCAAGTTGTCGCTGCATCATCAAACCAGGCTCAGTTCTCCACCTTCACCCAAACTGTCCAGCAAAAGAACCCTTCTGTCAAAACACTTTTGTCGATTGGAGGAGGCAGTGCAAACGAGGCAGACTTCGCTTCAATGGCAAGCGAATCCACCTCCCGAAAATCATTCATCGATTCTTCAATAAATCTCGCCAGGCAATACAATTTTCATGGCCTAGACCTCGATTGGGAGTACCCCTCCTCGGCTACTGAAATGACCAACTTAGGATTACTCCTCAACGAATGGAGAGCAGCCATTGACAACGAATCCACAAGCACAGGCAACTCATCCTTGCTCTTAGCCGCCGCAGTTTTTCGCTCATCGGATTATTACACCATTGATTACCCAATTCAAGCTATAGCAAACAGCTTGGATTGGATCAATGTGATGGCGTATGACTTTTACGGTCCCCTTTGGTCAAATCTAACAGGGCCTCCTGCAGCTTTATACAATCCTGGAAACGATCAAATTAGTGGAAGTTATGGAGTCTCAACCTGGATTCAAGCTGGAGTGACTGCTAATAAAATTGTGCTAGGCCTTCCCTTTTATGGCTACGCCTGGCAGCTTGCTGATGCTAATAACCATGGATTTTTTGCCCCGTCAGTTGGGGCAGCTTTATCCTCTGATGGGTCAGCTGGTTACGGCCAGATTGAGGATTTTATATCCGAGAACAATGCCACGACTGTGTATAATTCAACTGTTGTTTCGAACTATTGTTATTCTGGAACAACTTGGATCGGTTTCGATGATACGCAGAGTATTTCTGCTAAGGTTTCGTATGCTAAAGAGAATGGACTTCTTGGTTACTTTGCCTGGCATGTTGCTGCTGACGACGATTGGGTTCTTTCTCAGACAGGTCTGTTGTATTTATTTTCCTCAAATTTAATTCTTATTTAATGCATGAAGGTTTATCTAGTTTAGTTGGGTCCAATTTGTGTAGGGGAGGAGCCAGGAAATTTATGTTGGGGGTCAAAGTGTAATATTTAACAAATTAAAGGTGTCAGAGAAGAATGCATTTAGAAAGTTATATTAACTATTTACTGTTTAGGGCGCTAAGGTTAAGTTTAACTAATAAGGGGGTCTAAAAAAAATCTGAATAATTAGGGATAGGAAAGTATTTCTAACAAATTAAGACTTTTCGTGGGCTTGGGTTGACCATTGGCATCCTGGGCCTACAGAAAGCTTGGCTTTGTTGTCATATCAGGTTGTAGTAATATTATGAAAATGATTTTTTATTTATTAAAAAAAATATCGAAATCATAAATATATTTTAGAGAAATTATGTAACAATATATTTGTTAAAATAGTATTATCAACTGGTTCATGTTTTTTGTTTTATCTTTATTTTATTTTGAAATTTTGTTTTCCTCATTGGAAATTTGTTTTGCTAATAATAAGAAATTTTTCTACGTGACGTATGATCATACAACGAATTAACAAAGATGTGTCACATGTGTATAATATACACGTGTCTTCATTAATGAATTGTATGTAGATATGTTACATTTAAGATTTTTTTTAATGTTTTAATTTTTTTTTTCTAACTCGTATTTTTCATTTTGTGGCAGCTTCGGATACATGGGGAGCTTGAATACTCATTGCCAGTTGAGTGCTGATATGGAGGAATCAAACCAGATTTATGGATATGAATGAATAATGAATAATGTATGTTAATTTTAATAAGGAAAATAATTGAAATGCTCATAATTTATAATAGAATATTAATAAAACATTTGAAACGCCTATGACATAAACGTCCTGAAATTTGTATTAATGTGAAAATCATTCTCATAATGACTTGAAATTTAATTCTCTTCAATATTTCAGCTTGGCAAAAGTTTTACTTATAAATATTGTGAAAATCAATTGGGAGATGCAGAGAAGATAAGGGTGACGAGTATGTAATGGTTCATGTGAAGCATACCACAACCATAATATCATGGAGGCATGGAAGAAAGAAGTTTAAATGAATATTGATATTTAGTTCCTCGATGGAATTATCATTGTATTTGCTTTGATCATATGAATTGAATGAGTTCAGAGAAAATGATTTTTGTTGAGAGCTATCAAATACATTAAAAGCAAATACTGATAATTAGAGAGTTGTGTTGTGTCCCAACAACCCTGGTTTTGTTCAACGTGCCTAGATCGAAATAGCTTGAGATCTCTAGTGATTCATATTTCACATGTATTATAATTACTAGAAAATGTTAGAACTCATAAAATTTGGAAGTAGAAGTAAAGACTGGCTTTTAGATATCTTTCCCAATTTATTTTTAACCACATGTACATACTAATTTATTTATAAAAGTTAAATTAACAATGGGTTATAATTGATACAGTTGTACTAGTTGATCAAACTAGGGCGTTGATATAATATGATGGTCAAGTGATTTTGATGGAATGTTTGGTTCTTGGATTTGTTGTAGAAGGTAGTAAATTTAAAACTTGACTATTAGACAGAGAAGTGTATTGATTTGTATAGAACATATGGTCAATTTAGAATCAAAAGTCTCAAAAAGATATATTAATTTGGGATTAATGTTGGTCATTACAGTCCTCATGGTTTGAACATATCTCAATATTTTCGATAATGGGTTGCATTTCTTAAGATCTTGAATCAATAATATCGTACATTAGATATGATCCTCGACTTATATGAACTACAATACCTAGAGTCAACCTACTCCAAGAAATTATTGTCACACCGACCTGTCTTCTTTCCTTCTCCTCCACTGCCAATCAATTGCACAAAGAGTGAATAAAAGTGAAATATAGATTATCTTGTTGATATTTTTGTCAAACTTATGTTATAGTGACACATTTTGCCATGTGACATTTTCTCTTTGTTGTCTTGCCCATCAAGTTTATTTTGATTCATGATATTTTTGTGAAAGTTAAGTTTACATGTATCACAATGTGGTCCTAAAAGGTTGTAAGACTTTGTCTGTGGTCCTGCAAAAAAGAGAAAAGATATGTTTGTGGTCCAACAAAAAGTTAGAATTGTTTTTGTCCCTCATGTGTTCAGCTATGTCAGACTTATGCCTTTTGCATTTTCATTTCATGCGTGTTCACAATGGATGTGTGCTTGCACACTTATGTCAGACATATGCATGTTACATTTTATTTTGCATTTTACTTCGTATGTGTGCACACCTTTTTGCTGTGATAACATCGCATGTTTAACTCATTTTTCATAAATTGCGTTTTAATCCTTAACAACTAAGATATTTTCTTTGCATATTTTGTGCTGTCATTTGGACCACTTACAAGTGTCCCAATATCCTTTAGTGGTCTAAGGAAAATCAACATATTCCCCTTTTGTTGTGGTCCCAAAAGATAGATGAAATCTTATCTATTTTTGGACTAACATATGTCAGCCCTTGTTTGCTGACTTGGCAAGAATTGGAGAGCACAAAATTGGTCTATATCTTCTTCATTCTTGCTCATTTGTGAACTAACATTTATATTTGTTTTTGCCTTGTGCTTTGAAACTTTCAGAGAGTTTTTTCCTTAAAGGTTCTCCATATGTTTTTATGCTAAACGCTTAACATCCTTCATCTTTGTTGAGCTAAAAGGAAGTTCATCTTCTTCCTTGTTTGTTTTTCTTTTTGAACCTGAATATCTATTTCGTTAGTGCTCTGAACTTTTCAGAGAGTTGTTCTTGGTTAGGTTCTTTTATATGGGTTTGTGCTAGAAATTTTCTTGTTTATCTTCATTGTTGAATGGCGGCTGGAACATGATTCCTTTGCTGATGTTGGAGCGTGTCTTCAGCGATTGAAGTTTGGGTGGAGCTCAAGCGTTTTCCAGGAGTGATTTAAAACCAAAGTGGTTTAACCGAATTCCCAACATATTGCATATACTGCGACAAAGTTGGACGAGAACCAAGTAACAAATGCATCTAACATCTACACTAAAGGTGGAGATTGCACTAGAATCACCCTCTTGGAGCCCACATCTGGCGCTTGATACCGTAGCGATGTTATACTTGCCACCATTGACATCGTCAGCAGATCTGAGATGTAAAACTTGCTACATAGTTTTATAACGTGCTGTTACTATTTTCGCCAGAAAGTATAAAAAAATATTGCTTTTTTGACAGCAAAACCATTAAATGTCTAAATAAAAAATCTTATTACAAGTGTTTCAACACAGAGTTAGGCTGAATAAAAAACTATGTCATCATAATAGTAATGAATATAATTTCCTCCAATACTTTATTTTTTTTGAAGAATAAATTTATTTTAGGCAAAGGAAAGAATTAATATAGATAGTTCAGAATTTTAAATCCATCTAGCAGATATTGGCAGTCATGATGATGAACAAAGATTATTTCAATCTCGAGGATCGTTTACATGTAATAATGGAATTGAAGTACTGAATTATTTTGGTAAATTAAAGCAAATACATCACGTAAAATTTACTACAATGAGGTAATTATATTTGTTTTTATCATATGAAAAAAATGATAATATTTGAAGGAAGTAACTAATGATAATAATCATATAAATGATTTCAATCACCAGATAAGGATGAAGATTTATTTATTAATTATTTTGCGGTTGAGCTTTAAACATTAAGGAGTTATATAAATTATACTCCATTCTCCAATTTTTAAGATTAAGAAAGAAATTTATTGGAGCTTTACCACAATAATGTTAATTAATACTATTCATTTGCAAGCTATACTCACTTTAAAAAGGGAGAACAACGTTTTCCCACCCAAGGTTTGGTGAAACGACACTTTCCAACGTTTCAAGTTTCAAAATGACACTTTCTCACCCTTCGTTGGGTTCTGTTACGTTTTTCATTAATATTTTACTAAAAAGACGAAAATATCCATAAATATTTGACTTTATAAAATTTTTATTATTTTTAATTAACCAAAAAGTCAACTATTAAAAAGTAAAAAAAAAAAAAAATTAACCCCACTTAAAAAGTTAGGAGTAATGCTATAGAATTGTTTAAAATTAAATGACCTTAATATTTATTTATTTATTTATAATGTCATCAATATCCCATTACTATTATTCAATAATCTACTAAATTTATAATGTTTTTCATAATATAATAATTTTAATTTTTACTAATTAATATAGAAAATCAATATTCCTAATTAATTAAATAAACAATAGAAAAAATATATCTTTATATTTGAACTAATAAATAATCGAGTAAAGATTTTAACTTAACTAAATTTTAATTTATAATAAACTAATTAAGAAATAAACTGTTTAAGGTTATTCTCGTCATTTTAGTCAAATATTAATAGAAAACATTAACAGAACTTGATGAAAGGTAGGAAAGTGTCATTTTGAAACTTGACAGGTGGAAAAGTGTCGTCTCGCCAAAGCTTGCGTGGGAAAATGTCGTTCTCCCCTTTACAAATAAAAAAAACTGGCTGTTTGTCTATGTCAATATTGTTAATGTTAATGTTAATTACAATAATGTCTATGTCAATAATGTTAATCAACACTACAATAATGTTAATGTTAATTACAAGTTGTTTTTTTATATGCTTTTTAATCAAGGCCTGCAGGCCAATATTGTTTTATTTCCTCTCATTATACATTTTTGTTTTTTTGAGTGATGCTCTAGATAAATGTTTCTTAGAGAAAAAAATTATTCCATCATATCTAAAATAAAAGAAAAAAACCGCTCCAATAACTAAGAGAGGTCGAGCACTCATTATCCTTTAGAATTGAAAGTTACTTGTTTGCTATTTTTTTGGCATTATTACCATTGTTGAATGTAAAAAGGATTAAACATTTGTCCAAAACCGCTAACTGTTTATTAAAATGTCTTCTCTACTTCTTACACCGTTACATTAACTAACATACTATCTATTGGGGATGTCAGTGTTAATTTCCTAAATTAGAGGGGAAAAACTTTTTCCTAAATCTCGGGCTGGCATTGTATGAACTCTTGTCCCAATATATCAGCTGAAAGATTAAAAGCTGGACCAGCTAGCAAAATAAATAATCTGAATCTTTGGTTTTTATTTTCTTGACTTCTATATTGTGTAGTATTCTAAATGACAAAGTTCAGAAATCTTTAGTGCTATTTCTGGATAAATTTCAACTCATATTCAATGGTTTTGCTTCAAAAGACCGCCGACTATTATTTAATCTTCAATAATTAGATTCAAAACCAAAAGGGTCAATTCATCCCTTTAAATCAAACATCTAAACAATGACATTTTCGGAAAATTTATGCGTTTAGATTAGAGCTTTACCGTTTGATTCGTCCACAAAGTCAACACATCGAACTCATAACTACATTCTACTGCTTTGACTACACTTGCTCAGGCATATTCGCATAAATATATATATTTTCTCCTCAATGAATCACCCAAAATATGCTACTAAGTTCATCAATGGCACCCAAAATCATCCTTGCAGCGTTCTTTGTCATCTTCTCTTTAAAATTCTACCCAGCAAAATCAGAAACTTGGGTTCAAGGTGGTTACTGGTTATCAGGCAGCCGGTTCCCGAGTTCGGATATAAATTCTGCGCTGTTTACTCACCTTTTTTGTGCTTTTGCTGATGTTAATTCCACCTCCTATGAGCTCCTTTTATCAGCTTCTGATGAGAAAGATTTTTCTAACTTCACGGATACTGTGAAACAGAAGAATCCATCAGTTTCTACACTTCTATCCATTGGGGGTGCAAATGCAAACTACTTAACTTTTTCTACAATGGTGAGTAATTCATCTTTCAGGAAATCCTTCATTAATTCTTCCATAAAAACAGCCAGGGTTTATGGCTTCCAGGGTCTGGATCTCTGTTGGGTTTCCGCAAACTCAAGCTCTGATATGTATAACATGGGAGTTCTCTTCGAAGAGTGGCGAGCAACTATCGAACTAGAGGCGGGAAACTCTAGCCAGGCAAAGCTTATATTGACTTCAGCTGTTCAATTTCAGCCAGATTTACGTTCAGGAAGCTTCCCGGTAAAACAAATGGAACAGTACTTGGATTGGGCTAATGTTATGGCTTATAACTTCTACTCCCCTCAGTGGTATAAATTTACTGCGGCGCATGCTGCTTTGTATGATCCGACTAGTACGGTTAACACGGATTCTGGGATAAGGGCTTGGATCAGCAGAGGATTATCTTCGAATAAGGTGGTTTTGAGTTTGCCTTTTTACGGATACGCATGGACGCTTGCGAACGCTCAGTACAATGGTATTGGTGCACCGGCAACAGGGCCAGCCAGCCCAGACGGTGGAGTCATGAGCTATAAGAAAATCAGGGATTATGTTCTGAGAAATGGGGCTAATGTTATGTACAACGCAGCTTATGTGGTGAATTACTGCACCGTCGGGTCAACTTGGATTGGTTTTGATGATGTTGACGTTGTAAGAATCAAGGTTGCTTATGCCAAGGAGAAGAAGCTACTTGGTTACATTGCGTGGGAGGTCTCCAACGATGATAACTGGATGCTTTATCAAGCTGCAGGTAAGTGATCAGAACTTAATTCACCAAGAAATCTGTTTGATTAATGATTATTTCTATCTATAGTGTAATTACAACCAAATCAACAATTATTAAGTGGCTTCCCCAATTTTTTATGTTATCAATTGTTCCATAGCCGGCACATAAGGCAAAACTATGACATTATTTATTCATCAGATGACTAGATTTTTTGATCAAGTGAAGATATAAGTATAAGATATGAATTAATTATCATTTATCAACAGACAATGACAGAGTAGTTAGACCAGTTGCATTGACATATGACCATTTATAAAAATAACAGAACACCAAGTTTTACACACATTGAAAAATTGATTGACAATGAGTTGAATGAAGATTTTTTATGGGAACTCTAGTAACATAAAAGAAAATATTTTTTCAGCTCAAGAGGGTAATAACGATGGAAGAAATAAGCGGCGGTTATTAGCAATTGTGTTGTCTTCAACTGCAGCTGCTATTCTTCTTCTGGGCTGCTTTTTGATATATTACTTCTGGATAAGAAAGCTCAAATCAAAAGGTGACTTGTCCAGCCATAATGCTTCTTGTGATAATGTGATGAATGATCATCTGATTTTTACTGCCATGTTTATTTGGTCTCAGCTAATGAAGGATCAAAGACGAGAATAAATGACCCATCTGCAGCTGGGGATTTTAACAGCAATGCTCCTAATCTGATAACTTATAATTTTCATGACATTGAAGTGGTTACAGACATATTCTGTTTTGAAAATAAGCTTGGGGAAGGAGGATATGGTCCTATTTACAAGGTACATTCTATTAGGCCATTTATTCTATTGCAATTTGGTCTTTCTAGCTGATTGTGGGACATAAATTTTATTTGTTTGTCAGGCTTTGCTACCCAATGGACAGGAAGTAGCAATGAAGAAACTTTCAAAAACATCCACACAAGGATATGAGGAGTTCAGGAATGAGGTTATGCTTACAGCAAAACTCCAACATGTAAATCTTATTCGACTTTTGGGATTTTGTACTGATAGAGAAGAGCAAATGTTGATCTACGAGTACATGCCAAACAAAAGCTTGGACTACTACCTCTTTGGTATTGTGAATTCTTTGGTGTAATTTTTTACATTGATCATTTGCATTTTTTGCCTTGATTGTTGACAATATAATTTGATGTAGATCCTATTAGACGATATACTTTGGATTGGAGAAAACGTGTACATATCATTGAAGGGATTACTCAAGGACTTTTATATCTGCAAGAATACTCAAGACTGACTATCATTCACCGAGACTTGAAAGCTAGTAATATTTTATTAGATGAAGAAATGAAGCCTAAAATATCAGATTTTGGTATGGCTAGAATTTTTGCAAAAGATGATCTTGAAGCAAACACAGGACGAGTTGTTGGAACATAGTAAGTATATATATCTCCTCCTAATAGTCTATATATAGTATCTCATATACTCAAACTTGATTGTCCATTGTAGTGGGTACGTTCCTCCTGAATATGTTAAAAGAGGCATATACTCTACCAAATCCGATGTGTACAGTTTCGGGGTTCTACTTCTACAAATCATAAGTGGAAACAAGGTTTCTTTTTTCTATGGTCCTGAAGAAAACTTAAGCTTGCTAGATTATGTAAGTTTCTTCGACGGTTGTTTGTTTAAAATTTGGTATTTGAATTGAACAATAATTGGTATTTATCATTGCAGGCATATGTCCTCTGGAAAGATGGCAAAGGCATGGAGTTTATGGATCCATCACTAGATGATACGAATTCCTCCTGTAAATTAATAAAGTGCTTGCAAATAGCTTTGCTATGTGTCCAGGAAAACCCACATGATAGACCATCCATGTTGGAAGTTTCTTCTATGCTTAAAAATGACACCTTCGAGATAGTGAGCCCAAAGAAGCCGGCTTTCTCGAAACAAGCTGATGAAGATAAAGAAACTATATTAACATTCAATGATACAACTATTTCAGAAGTTGTAGGTAGATGATTGCAGCAATTGTGATGACCAATGTGTGACATATCCTTAGACAGTAGCAGTAGAAGTGCAGCAAGACGCTCCAATTGCAGTTGCAGATTCCAGGAACTCTGTCAGGCTAGACTCGTTACCGCAAGCTGAAGCTCTTTTCTACTCCCTGATTTAATTACCCTGTTGAGGCTTTAACCAACATCTGTGAGGACATGTAATTTGGTAAAATCTCAGATTAGTTAAAAACTCTGGTCCGTTCTGCTATGAGAGCCAGGATTCAAGCTGGTATACTTCTTCAACAAAAAGTTGAAATGATTAGTTTGGCCTCGGTATCTTGTTTTAAACACGGCCTAATTGAATCAAATAACAGTGTAGATGCAGAAGGGCAGTTAGAAAATAGTAAAATGGAAAGCATTCAACTCTTTCTACAATGGTGGGTAGTTCATCTTTCATTAATTCTTTAATAAGAACTGCCAGGCTCTACGGCTTCCAGGGTGATCTCTGTTGGGTTTCCGCAAACTCAAGCTCTGATATGTATCTTAAAATTACAAGCACTTTTAAAGAAGTTTTAGGTTCTTTTAAAGAACCAAACAAGGGATTGGGAGTGAGATTCCTGTTCCCTTGTCCATTCACCTCAAGCTCTGATTTAATGTTAAAGGTTACACAGTTAGTTATGTAATGGTAGGTATTGTAGGATTTGTAAATTGAAAGAAAACGAGAAACAAATTTGATTTCAATTACTATATTCAATTGAGTAAATGAATCAATGAAAATACAATGAGGGTTTCGCAGCTACTTAAGTAAAGATAGTAGCTGAAATGAAGTAATGAGAAAGGGAAAGTGAACTTAGAGAAGAAAGTTCGTTCAACTTTAAGAGAGACACAAAACGACTGTGTTTTGTTGTTACTTAGCTAAATATCGACTAAGTCCTTATCTTCTGAATTATGACACTTTAATCCACATGCTCACTCAAATTGAACTCCCTAGTCCAGATTTTTGAATTCTGACACTTTAATCCACCTGCCTACTCAAACATGAATCTCCTTCCATCATGTCTTCATAAACTTCAGCAGGTCATGCCTTTATCAGATTACATTCACTATTTCCATTCTTCATATAATTCAGTCATAAGCCACAAAACTACAAACTAAAAAAATGTCACCAGATTACATTCACCAGCATTCTACTGTTAATTCAGTCCACAAAACTGCAAGCTGTAAAACTGCAAACAACAGTTTTCACCATATTACTCCACTGTTAATTCAGTCCACAAAACTGCAAATTATAAAACTGCAAACAGCACTCTTCACCAGTTTACATTCACCAGCACTCCACTGTTAATTTAGTCCACAAAACTGCAAGCTGTAAAACTACAAATAGTAGTTTTCATCAGATTACTCCACTGTTAATTCAGTCCACAAAACCTGTAAATTATAAAACTGCAAACAGCAGTCTTCACCAGATTACATTCACCAGCACTCCACTGTTAATTCAGTCCACAATGCTACAAACTGTAAGACTGCAAACACCATTCCACTACAAAGCTGCAGAAGACAGCATTTCACCAGAAATCATAAAACTGCTAATTCACCATATGAAAAAAAATCACCAATTCACTATACAAATTCACCCTTTCACAAATGAATCATCCCACAACAACCTTCAGCACACACAACAACCTTCAGCTCACACAACAACCTCCAGTATTAATCATCAGCATTGTTGCACACACAACAACTTCCAGCATTGGCATATAAAGTTCAGCACACAGAAAAAAAACCTTTCACCATCAATATCTTTCACCATCAGTATTTCCACACACACAATCCATAAGCAATAAAACTACATGGCAGTCACCACTGAAGCAGAACACTTCTAATCATAAGAACAACAGATTATCAATCAACCAGTAAGCACCATATTAGAGCACTGCAGATTGCCATCAAACTGAAGCAGAAAAGAACATAACTTTTTCCATTGCAGATACCACCACATCTGAACACTTTAGAAAGCCTTTTAATTGGAATAGTGAAAATCAACAACATTAAGTTTAGCCTTTAACTCAAGAAACTGAGCAATGGAGAGAGCTTTTGTTAAGACATCTGCAATTTGCAGCTTAGTAGGTACATATTGAACAAGAAGCTACTTGGCTAAAACTTGATCTCTTATGTAATGGGCATTTATTTCAATGTGTTTAGTCCTGGCATGAAATACATGATTAAATGCTAGGGCTCCTGCACTAAGATTGTGACACCATATGACATGGGACTGTGGAAAACTTAAGCCTAATTTTGAGAAAAGACTCTTTAACAAGGAAACTTCAGTTGCTGTATTGGCTAGAGCTCTATATTCAGCTTCGGTTGATGACAAAGCAACAACCCTTTGCTTTCTAGAACTCCATTGAATCAGATTTGGACCCAAAAAAATACAGAATCCACTAGTTGACCTCCTATCATCAATGTTATTTCACCAATCTGCATCAGCATAGCATTCAACACTCATTGATGCTGCTGGTTTAAATTGAATACCATGATTTGAAGTGTCTTTGAGATATCTAAGGACTCTTTTACAAGTTTGCCATTGAATTTCTGTGGGAGCTTGCAAATATTGACTAAGTTTGTTAACAACAAAGCTTATATCAGGTCTAGTGAGTGTAAGATATTGTAAAGCACCAACTGTGCTCCTATACAAAGTAGGATCTTGAAAGCATGCATTGTCTCCAGAAAACAGTTTGGTACCAACAGCAAGAGGTGTTGGACAAGGGTGTGCATCAGCCATTCTTGTTTTAGCAAGTAAGTCAAGAATATATTTGGTTTGTTTGAGATGCAAACCTTGATCAGTTCGAGTGGCCTCTATTCCAAGAAAGTAGTAGACCGATCCTAAAACTTTTAAAGAGAATTGATCATCAAGATCTCTAACCAAATTATGAATAAACTCCTTGTTACCTCTAGTAATTAGAATATCATCTACATAGATGAGAAGATAAGTCATTTGGCTTTCTTCTTGAAAAATAAATAGGCTGGGGTCTTCCATTGAGTTTCTAAATCCTTTATCAACCAAAGCAGCCTTTAATTTGTCAAACCATGCCCTAGGAGCTTGTTTGAGCCCATACAAAGCCTTTTCCAATTTACAAACATGTCCAGGAAATTCAGAATGCTCAAAACCCTCTGGTTGTTTCATAAACACCGTCTCATTCAGAGTACCATTCAGAAAAGCATTGTTTATGTCAATTTGCGAAATATCCCACCCATTAGTGATAGCTAAAGTAATAATTATGCGAATGGTGGGTGGCTTAACTACCGGGTTGAAGGTCTCGAAGTAGTCAAGACTTGGAGTTTGCTGAAAACCCTTTGCCACCAGCCTGGCTTTGTACTTTTGGAGGGAGCCATCTGGGTTATATTTAACCCTAAAAACCCATTTATTTCCTACTATGTTCATATTATCAGTAGAAGGTACAAGAGACCAGGTTTTATTCTTGAGCAGGGCAGTAAATTCACTCTCCATTGTAGCCTGCCATTCAGCAGTACTTAATGCTTCTTTAACAGACCTTGGTTCAACAACAACTAAAGAGATGGATGGGTTGACAAGTGAGCTGGAGGTAAGAATGGTTTTAGGCTGAGGAAGACAGTTAGACTTGGTTCTAGTCACCATTGGATGAGTGTTTTGAGTGATTTTTGGAATATTAAGTGCAGTAGACTACTGTGATGGATCAAGAACAAGTTTAGGAATACAGTTGTTTGCAGATTGAGAAGACAACATTGGGTAAGAGGTAAAATCTATAACTAAGGGACAAGATGATGCTGATTTATGTAATGTGGTTGATGAATCAGTGTGTTGAGGTGGAATTTTGGTTTCTGAGGATGCAGAATGTGAGGTCAAATGATTTTGACCAGTTGTTGAGCATGGATTGTTATGACCACAGGAAACTGCAGCAAGTACACTTCCATCAGCAGGATTTGTATCAGAAGACCTTGATGATTTGACAGACACAAAGGGAAAACTCCTAATGAGGTTGGTAGATGTATAAGAGTCTGAATTTGTTTGAGTAGGGCTAGAGACACTAAAATGATGAGCAAAAGCGAATTCTAACTCATTGAATTTGACATTAGGAGTTATGTAAACTTTACCTGTTGAACTTAAACATTTAAACCCTTTGTGTACTAAACTATAGCCTATGAAAACACATTTTTCAAAATGAAAACTATAATCTCTTAGATATGGATAACAGGTGCATCCAAACACTTTCAAAGTTGAATAGAGAGGAAGACTATGAAACAGAATTTGATAGGGTGAAATGAAATTAAGAACAGAAGAAGGCATCCTGTTAATCAAGAACATTGATGTATCAAAAGCATTCCATTGTAAAGGCATAGAGGCATGTGCAAGTAAGGTCAAACCAGTTTCAACTACATGTCTATGTTTTCTCTCACTCCTACCATTTTGTTGGTGAACATAAGCACAAGAGTGCCTAAACTGAATTCTAGCATTGGTGAGGTAAGAAATTAGACCCTTATATTCACCCCCTTGATCTGATTGTAAACACTTAAGCTTTAAACTGAATTGCCTTTCAACTAAGTGATGAAACCTAATGAAAACGAACCTAACTTCACTCTTGGTTCTTAGAGGAAAGAGCCAAGTGAATCTACTATAGTCATCAATAAATTGGACATGTGTCTATACCCCACTACAAAATGGGATGGTAGAAAGGAAACATAGGTATATCCTAGAAATTGCTAGAGCATTCGAATTTCAGTCTCACATTTTAAATTATTTTTGGGGTTATTGTGTTGAGGTTGCTGTCTATATTATAAATAGGTTACCTATCAAAGTTTTATGGTAAAAAACCTAAAATTGTTCATTAAAGGGTGCTTGGTTCCCTGGCATATGCTACTACTTTGACACCTAATTAAAGACAAGCTATCTCCAAGATCCATTCCTTGTGTCTTCATAGGTTATTCCTCCACACAGAAAGGTTATATCTTGTATGATTTACATTCTAAAACTATTCATGTCACTGAAGATGTAATTTTCTATGAGTAGAGGTGGAAAAGCAACCGGCCCGGCCCGACCCGACACGGCCCGCGACGTGTTGCTGTTAACCGACCCGCCCGGTGACATTGGTCGGCCGGGTTAGGCCCGCCAATATTAAGGAATTGGCTGGCCCAACCCGGACCGCCAACCCTAACCCGCCGGGTTAGGCGCGGGTTGGGTCGGGTTAACCCGCTTTTTGAATTTTTTTTTTTGAATTTTGTTTTGTTTTATTTTGTTTAAGTTTAAATGTTTAATTAACTTTTCAAATGAATAATTAACAATTTATAAATGTAATTGTTTTTAGTTAATTGTTAATTTCTTTTCAAATATCAATAATTAAATTAAATTAATTAATTTTTTGTTAACATTCCAAATATTAATTCAATTTTAATACATTAAAATTGTAATATAAGAATAATTAAATTTATTCATTTATTAAAAAATAAAATAAGAAATTACAATAATTATTGCCTCGTTAAAAACCTCACCAAGAAAAACCCAATAGGACAAAAACTTGGTAAGGAAAAAAGAGTGCAATAATTGACAATTAATTTACAAGTTACAATTTACAAAACAACTAATTTTGGGGTTCACTAGGACCTCCCTCATCCGTATCATCTATATTACAAAATTGAAATGATTCTATTAAAGTATCGTCGACAACCTTGTATTGACCTTGATAGCGCGACCGTTCCCAATCTCGAAGACATGTGAGGACTTCAATCATTTGTGGTGAAAGTTTAGTCCTCCTTTCATTTAAAATTCTTCCACTTGCACTAAATGTTTGTTCGGATGAGACGGTTGAGATAGGAACAGCGAAAACATCCAAGGCAAGTCTTGATAATACCAGAAAAATACATTTTCTGGCTCTCCAATAGTTTAAGAGATCAATGTTGGCTCTCTGTTGTGGATCTACTGGTAACATTTCAGGGGTTGCCAAATATTGTTGAAGCTCATTACTCTGCGACTGCATGGAAGACAGTACATTAGTTGTTGTTGTTGGTGGAGCTTCTGAAGAGGAGGTTGTGCTTCGGATTCGGGTCCTCTTCGGCCTATTCAGTGCACCCCAAGAGTAGAAGTCTTCATTTGTTTCTTCTAATGCAGCTTCCCTGGATGTTTCGCCTCTTTGCGGGTTCCCATACCTGTTTTCATACTGGAAATATACTTCGAAAAGTGTATTTTTTACCTCTCCTATTTGATTGGCATATACTTCGGTTTGTAAATTTTCACATAAATTGTCAAAACCATTTTCTAAACCTGCTAATTTAATTCTAGGATCAAATATAGCACCTAAACAATAAAGAAAAGGAATGGGTTTCCAATATTTTAAAAAAAAAAATTTCATTGCCTTTATTGGTGCATTTAAAATTACATTGTCTTTGTTTTTTATAAATAACTCGGAAATTTTTATAATTGTATGTATTACCAATGGACTAGTAGGATAATACACACCAGAAAGTTGTAAAGTGGATTGGTAAAAAGTTTTAAGAAAAGAATGAAATACTTTAGCTATTTGCCAATCATTTTCTACCAAATAATGAGGACCTCTATTATTTGCTACAAAATAACTAATTATATTAGCATAAGGTAAACATGAATCAAGCATTAAATAAGTACTATTCCATCTAACAGGCATGTCTAATGCAAAAGTTCTAGGAGACATATTTGATTTTATACAAGCTTCTTGAAATTTAGCATTTCTTTTATTACTACTAGTAATCCAAGCTAAAGATTCCCTAATTCTATCAATATTTTTTTTAATTGTTTTCATACCACTTTTCACAATTAAATTAATAACATGACATGCACAACGTTGGTGAAAAAACTTCAAATTATTATATAAAAGATAATTATTTTGAAAAAATTCTATAGCTTTACTATTAGAACTTGCATTATCTAAAGTTAAACTTATCACTTTACTAACAACGTCGTAATCTTCTAAAACTTCAACAATTTTGTTATAAATTTGTTCACCACTCTGGTCAACATCCATTAATCTAAATCCTAATAAAGATTTATTTAATTTACATTCATTATCAAAATAATGACTAGTCACACAAATATAATCTTGTTTAACTCTACCACTCCAAATATCGGCAGTTAGAGCCACACTAACATGACAAGTATGTATTTTATTTTTTAATTCTAATTTCATTTTTTTTAAACAATTTTATTAAATCATTTCTAGTTGCAGTTTTAGAATAACTTTTAAATCCTTGAAAAAATGAATTTTGAACAAATCTTTCAAAATATTTATCTTCAGCCATATTAATAGGTTAATCAGTTGCAGCAATATATAAAGTTAACCGTTCTCTATATACATTAGAATTATAACGCCAATTAGTACCCATATTAGTTATTTGAGTTTGATTGCTTTCTCTATTTTCATGTTGATTAATATGTTTATTAGCATGCCTTTTTAAAGTACTAGTACCATTACCTGAATAAGCTTTATAAAAATTTACACAGTATTTGCATCTCGCTTTCTTGACTTAAACGCCATTTTCTATCTCGTAAAACTTGTCGAAATGCACCCAAACGTCTGATGTGTGTTTGTCTTTGCTTTCGACGGCAATTGATGATCCCACCTCAGCTTGAGATGAAGTTGGACGAGCACAACGATTACGAGGACGACTTCTAGAACCATCGGGAGCTGTTGGAATCGGGGGCATATTTTGAGGTGTATCGGATTCTGAGAATGGGAAAGCGGGACTATTTGAATCTCCTCCTGCATTTATGTTAGTAAAATCAGCGGGACTAGGACTAGGATAGTAGTTTCCGTCATCATTGTAATTGATGGGAGAGAAATATCTATCCATTGTAGTTGAAAAAAAAAATTGATGTTGAAGAAATAAAAATTAAAGAAAGAGAATTGGAATATGGAAATTGGAATTTGGAAAATTGGAAATATGAATTAAAAATTGTAAAAACTAATAAAAATTAAAATACGAGCAAATTGATAACAAAGAGATTAAGGGAATAGATGAATAATTGATAGATTAGAGATTAGAGAATATGAGAGAATTTGAGTTGTGAGAAAAATGTGAGAGTTTAGAGCCAATTTATAGGAAAAAATGGGAAAGAAAAATGATGAAAAAGACCCCTCCAACGGTTATATTTCAAGGGTAAATGGGTAATTTGAAAAATAAAATAAAACTTTTTATTTTTTATTTTTATTTTTTTCGACCAACTCGCCGGGTTGGCTGTTGCAACCCGGCGGGTTGGCGGGTCTCTTGCAAAAGAGACAAAACAGCAACCCGCCGGGTTGCGGGTTGCCATTGTGCAACCCGGCCCGCCCGGGGGTTGCTGCCGGGTTTAACCCGCATTTTTACGGGTTGGGTTAGGGTTGACCCGCCTAACCCGGCCCAAATGTTCCACCTTTATCTATGAGACTATCTTTCCTTTTACATGGAAACAGTCTAGTAAACAACCTTTTTTATTAGAAACCTTCATGGAGGAAGACTTTTCTAATTCATCTTCTTCTTATTTTATTACTTGTCTTAAAGATACATGCATTTACCAATATCAGAACCAACTTCCTCTTTGTCTCTTTCTGATTCCTCACCTCTTCAATCCTCACAGCCACCTAGAAATCATTATTCACCTTAAAAATCCAATAGAACGTCAAAACCACTAATATGGACCATTGATTTTATTTGTCCACCTTACCTAAATCCAATCTTACTTCTGTGACTCAATATCCAATTTAGAATTACATCTCCTATGCTCACCTTTCCTCATCATATCAAAGTTGTTTGTCTAAAATTTCTACCCTTATTGAAACTAGTAATTTTAACCAAGCATGTAAAGATCCTAATTGGGTGGCTACTATGCAACAAGAGATTCAAACTTTAGAAAGAAATGACACTTGGTCTTTAGTTCCTTTGCCGCCTGGTAAGAGTCCAATCAATTGTAAGTGGATTTATAAGCTTAAATATAAGGTAGATTCTTTGGAAAGGTACAATGCAAGATTAGTTGTCAAAGGGTATACTCAATAAGCTGGAATCGACGATGAAGAGACTTTCTCTCCTGTGGTAAAAATGGTAACAGTTATGCTTGTTCTAACTTTGGCTTTTATGAAAGATTGGCCTCTTTACCACATGGATGTGGACAATGCTTTTTTGTAAGATGATATTCAAGAAGACATTTATATGACTCTTCCTCAAGGATTTTCTAAACAAGATGATAAGTCATTAGTGTGGAAACTATATAAATCACTATGTGGCTTAAAACAAGCTTCAAGGGCTTGGAATTCCAAGCTTACTATTCCCTGGCTATCTAGTGGATTCCAACAATCTTCCTTAGATCATGCTTTCTTTTTCAAGAAAGTTCATTCCCACATTGTTATTTTACATGTGGATGATTTAGTCATTATAGGAAGTGATTTTTCTTTGATACAGAATACTAAAGATCTGTTGCATTCTCATTTTAAGCTCAAAGACTTGGGTTCATTGTGTTATTTTTTGGGTTTTGGGGTTGCTCGATCTTATAAGGGTACTGGTTTATGCTAAAGAAAATATGCCTTGGAGTTAATTGCAGCCTCAGGATTGCCTGTTGCTAAGCTTGCTGTTATTCCTTTGGATCAACATTCGAAATTAACTTCTATAGAGTATGACAAGATGTTTCATGGTAATAAAGATCTTGCCTTTTCTGATCCTTTTGTGTTTCAAAGGCTTATTGGCAAGTTGCTATATTTGTGTTTATCTAGGTCTGATTTGAGTTACTCTGTCAACCTTTTGAGTCAGTTTATGCAACATCCAAAACAATCTCATCTCACTGTTGCTCTAAATATTGTTAGATACATTAAAACTTCTCTTGGTATGGGTTTATTTTTTCCAGCTCATGGTTTTATGCAGCTACAGGGTTTTTGTGATTCGGATTGGGCATCATGCCTTAGAACCCGCAAGTCAGTTACAGGTCATTGTATTTTTCTAGGTAATTCACTTATTTCATAGAAATCTAAGAGGCAAGCCACTATGCCTAAGTCCTCCTCTGAAGTTGAGTATAGAGCAATGGCTTCTACAATTCGTGACGTTGTCTGGCTCACACAACTTTTGACAGATCTTGGCTTTCCATTGTTGCTTTCTATTCCTCTCTTTTGTGGCAATCATTCTGCCCTTCATATTGCTTCAAATCCTATGTTTCATGAGCATACGAAGCATATTGATATTGATTGTCACATTGTTCGTACTAAACTCATGGAAGGATTGATCAATACTACTCATATCTCTACACATGAGCAGCCTACCGATTCAATTATTGAAGTGGTTATAGTTTGGTACTTTAGCAGTTAAGGTTGTTAAGATTGGTTGAGTTAGTTTGTTGATTTACATCTATATAACTATGGTAAAAGAATAAACCATAGATATCATGTATAAAACATAGAATGTTTTTCATATGCACTCAATAATATAATACAATGATAATTGTTCTTCTAGAATTCTTTCTTCAATATTCCAAAATCTAATAACGCTTTTACCCAAAAATGGTGAATTCCTCATACCTCTTATGGAACGCCCTTTCTTCCTTCAAGGCACCCCATTCCAAGGATGAACAATTTCGTTTCATTGGTTATTCATGCTTATGTCCAAAATGGCATATTTCTAGACATGTTGTTTTATTCGAAATGCTCGTTCCCTATGCCTGTTCCACTTCGTGAATTCCCAGACACCATTTGGAACACCCGTTCTACAACACCTCACAGGATCCCCCAGTGCATCAGCATACATCGATACTCCGTTCCCTACTCCAAATCCTCATTATACAAACACACAACATACCAGGTTCCCTTCTCATACCAATTCAACCACAACCATGACATAACTCATCATCAAACATTTCCAACCCATGTTTTACTCTTCAAGGGGTGTACTCCCCACCAAACAACATTCACAAAATAAAGTCTCAATTCATCCAAAACATAACACTATACCAAACAACGAGCAATACACAATTATACATATAACACATCCAAAATGTTTTCTCTATCCCAAGCAATTCATATCAATTTACAATACAATACACCCTCATATCATTGTATGGCAACAAACAACCAAAACATTATCCAATAGGATGCGGGGGTTACAAATGGGATTTACCAATGATGAATTTGTGAAGCCTTGCACTCCAAATACTTCATTATCATATAAGTTGCAAGTGATACTTTGTTCCTTGGGCAAGTTTGACATCTAAGCCTCTAATATTATTCTTTAACTAACATTTTGTCTTTATACCTTAAAAAATTTTAGATTCTTATCATGATCTTCATATCTTTATTTATCCATCAAAGAATGATACTTTACTTAAGATTGTGATGTTTTGATCCATCTTTTGCTTTTCATAAACATATGCAACATGTTTTGGGGAAACATCACTTAGAAATATTTATTTATTTTTAAAAGAAAAATATGCAAGAATTTGATTACAATTTTCCTATAGGAAGTTAATTTCTGGACACAATCCTCAAAGATAGTTGAACTATGAAAACAAAAAACAAAGGAAATATTTTAAATTTTCAGTTGATTTGCTTTAAATAAAAATTAGAAATTATATTAATATTAAGAAACATGCTATACTTCTATATATAATTTATCACATCCATCATATGTTGTGTAAAATATGCCACATTACTAAGAAGATCACTTCTTGGGATAATCATACATTTGGAATAAAAGTTAAGAAAATTTAACATAATTAGGATACTATATCATCATGCTTTTTAAATTCAAAATTAAATAAAGTTACATTACTTCTTAAAACATATAATAAATATACAAGTAATATTGTCTTTGAACCATCCAAGGTGTCTAGATATGATGACTCAAAATTTCGACATAAATTGTATAAAAGAAGTGGGGCTCGTAATGTAAAAATGATAAAAACTCTGCCAAGTTAGAATAAAAAAGTATATATTGTTGGAGTTGTTGACTACTTCAGCATTAATGGGTAACGGAGACGCAGGCGGGGGTCGCAGGGGCAGCGCCCCCGAGCCTGTAGGCGGTTTTAGTCTTTTCCATGTATAACCGCTGTAGGATTTCTTTTAAGTTACTAATTCCTTTTTGGGTTGGGCTTAGAAATAGGAGTCCTTATAAAACTAGGTTTAATCTCTTAAACCTAGTATATAAACATATTTTTCTCTTGTTATGTGTGTGAGAGCAATTCATTTATTGTAAACGAGAGAGGTGAGACATATTGCAATAATATTGACTCAGCTGGACGTAGCCTACATTGGGTGAACCAGGGTAAATCGCGCGTATTATTTTCTTTGTTTACTGTTTGATTTGTTTTACTATTATATTTTGTTCTTGTTGTTGTCTCTATTTCGTTCATATATAACAAGTAGCAAGTAACTGTAAAGATGATAAATACAAATATAAATTGGCCGACCTACATTTTGGGCCAAATTTATTGATTTATCCATTTCTTTTTGGCATTGATTTGTTCGAATTAAATTGTACTAGAATATGGTAAATTTTGGATGCTGAATTTTTTGTTCGGTTGTAGAGAAAGTTGATCAGATTTTTTTGGGGGTAAAAATTTGATGAAGTGGGTGGATGAAGTTTGTTGGATGTAACAATAATTGAATACAGTTTTGTCTGTTGGTTAAGAAAATGAATAATGGTAAAAAAAGGGGTGTTGGAAGTTTTGTTTGTTGAGTAAGAAAATGAATGAAATTGATTTAGGCTAAATTTCGATGTAATGAAAATTTTCTTGTAAAATTCAAAATTTTGATCAACATTTTGCTAAGGTGGATAAGAAAAGTTTAGAAAATTTGTTGGGAAAATATGAAAACTTATAAATTTTTGTTTGATGAGTGTGAAATTATGACTCTGGGTGACTATGAGATTTTGATTTAAGGGTAAAAATATCATTTCAATATTTAATGATTTTTTTTAATATATTTCAACAAGCGTAATATTAAACGTATAAAGAAATTTACAAAGATTTCTTATACAAAATATGTAATCGGAGATGAACGAAAAAATGAATATAAAAAGTCAACAAAATGGGGACTAGTATGGATTTTCGATACTAACAGGTGCTAAGTGATGCGATATAGATACGGTGTTTGATACACCAAACAATAAAAACCTTTATATATATATATAAAACATGAAATCCTATGATATTTATAATTTCTTTTTGCTAAATTTAATTTCCAAAACTAAAATTTTATTAACTTGATGCATGTTCATTTGTGTATATAAATTAGTATCTTACCCCTTCATCTCTCTTGCTCACTCTCACAACATAACATCACTGAGATTTTGTTTAAGATATATAGCAAGGACTGCAATATCTCCGATGATACTCACTGGTGCATCTTAATTTAACCAATCTTCTTCTTTTCTTTTTTTATTTAGTTATAATATAATCAGTTGTAATTTATATATCTCATTGAACGCATTAATTTAATTAATTAATTTCTTTGCACATACATTTTTCAGTTGTAAGCAACGCAATCTTGATGAAGAAGAGGATGATGATGGAGGTGTTTCCTCCAGAAATAAGAAACTATGGAAGGAAGGGGAGTTGAGGTCGTTGGTTTTCCTCAGCCTCACTGCACAAATACTTCTAATCGTTCTGGGCAACCGCAGGAAGTATATTCACGGAAAGTGGATCAATGCAATTGTCTGGTCAGCCTACTTACTGGCAGATGCTGTGGCAACTATGGGGCTTGGCTTAATCTTAAATGAGATAGGAGATATCTACGGGAATGGTGGTTTTACTGATGCCAAAAGTGAACTTACTGCATTTTGGGCACCATTTTTCCTGTTGCATCTGGGAGGTCCTGATACCATTACAGCTTACTCGTTAGAAGATAATGAGTTGTACCTGCGGCACGTGTTTCAATTATTTGTCCAAACTCTGGTAACAATTGTTATCTTTCTAACAGCATTCAATGGATTGGAGCTTTCAATTCTTGCAATCCCATTGATAATTGTGGGGTTTATCAAGTATGGAGAAAAGACATGGAATCTTTGGTCAGTAAGCAGTAATCAACTTAGAGAATCAGTGCTCTCTTCTACTACTGCTGCTGATTCAAATTACTCCAAATCTTTCGATGAGTACCGGGTCTATCTTGCGGAGGGCTACAAAGTGGAAAGAGACTTCATAATTGATGATCATATTAGAATAGATGTGCCTCAATCTGGAGAAAACGTCACTTCAGTTCAAAAAATCATATTAGCCCATGTCTTATTTCATAAATTAAAGTGTCTCTTCGCAGATCTGAGCACCAGCGACGTCGACCGCCAAATTGTTGAGGCTTTATTAAAGCGGATGAGTCATCAAGGAGATGTTTTCGATACGATTGCAATCGAACTAGGATTCATTTATGATCTGCTCTACACCAAGGCATTTGTAATCCATACTCGCTGGGGTCTTATTCGCCGGGTAATCACTACTTCTCTCACCACTCTTGTGTTGGTTGTTTTCTGTTTTGTTAACAAGAAGAAATATATCAAGTTGGATGTTTACATAACCTTCTTGTTGCTGGGTGTAGCTATTGTTCTAGAATTATCTGCTGCTGTTTTTCTACTTTTCTCCGACCAGTCTAGAAATTGGTTCATTGGGCCTAAGAAAATGAATGCCATCTTAAAATTCATCAACACTTTGGAAGAAAAAGTTACACAACAACGGTGGTCGAAATCCATGGGACAATGCAGTATTACAAGCCTTTGCATCAAAGAAAAATCTGGCAGAAAAATCCCGGGGCTCAATGTGGTTAAACGTCTACTGAAAAAGCTTAGGTATTTGGATAAACTACTGAAAAAGCACCGGTATATAACGTCCTTTACACGAGTGACCGATGAATTGCAAGGGCTCATCTTCAAACATGTCAGCTTGGAACACGATCAATTTAAGGAGAATATATTAGTAAGCGAGAAGAAACTTAAAGAATTGGAAGAGCGGATGTTCAACGATGTCAAGAAGGAACATGAGTACCTGTTCAATGGAATTGACGGAAGCGAGGCGAATCTCAAAGAGTTTTTCGAGCTGACACTGAACCATGTCAAGAAGAATGTTGATCAATTTAAAGAGGACAGAGGTAAACACTACACAAAGACAAGGGGGAGCCGTGCTCTTGAAAAGCATAATTTGCTTAAATTGAGTGCTGAGGTTGAGTTTGACGAAAGCATACTTATTTGGCACATTGCAACAGAACTTTGCTATTATCAAGATAAACATTCACGTATGTTGACGGATGATTCTAAAATGAGCATGGTCATGTCAAAATATTTGATGTATCTTCTAGTTAAGTCTCCATTCCTATTGTCAATATCAGTAGGCGGTGTTGTCAGATGTCGCGATACTCTTTCCAAACTTGAGAAATGTGTCAAACAACCGAGTAGTAGTACTGGAAATCGTGGCGACCACAACGAAAATGACATCAGCAATCCCGCTTGGAAATATATACGTGAACTTAGCACGCAAGAGAAAGAAGGCAAAGGTAAATCTGTTTTCTATTATGCAGACAAGCTAGCGTCAGAATTAAAAGAAATTGAAGATAAAAAATGGGAAATCGTTAGAGATGTTTGGGTGGAAATGTTAACTTATGCTGCAAGTCAAGGTGGACAGTAGCGGATCTAGGAATTTCTTTTAGGGTGAGCCAAAATAAAAATTTATTATACATTACTATTTTTGTCCATTAATATTTTTTTTAGGGTGGACCAAAATATATAAATTTACATATTAATATTAAAAACAAAAATTTTGAGGAAAAAATGGCTGGATCCGCCACTGAAGGTGGAGGAAGGGAACATGGCCGTCAGTTGAGACAAGGGGGAGAGTTCCTTACTCATGTATGGCTTCTTATGGCTCATTTTGGGATAACCAAGCAGTTTCAGACATCGGAACAGTTTCAAAGATCGGAACACCAAAAGAGACCTTATCTCGTTGTGACTTAATTAATACTTGTAGTTTTAATTAATTTTTTTGATATTTTTATTTTAATTCTTTTTCTTCACTTGGTTTCATATATTTGTAATTTGGTGTGTGTCTAAAATCATAACTAATAAACCACTTGGTTTCATGTATGGTCACCAAAGATATTGTGTTGGAGTCCCACCAAATGGCCACTTACTTCAAGCACTTCAAAAATAATAATAATAATAATAATAATAATAATAATAATAATGCATATAGTTGTTCAATGGACCCATGGGGGGATTAGAGTAACAAGTTTGGGATTTACTATTACCAACCAGGGATAAAACCAGCATTTCTTTTAAATTGAGTTAATTATTTTATTTATTTGAGCGAACCTTAACAGTATGGGAAATTTTCATTAATATATATATAAAAAAAAGGTTATATATACCCAATAGAAGGGGGATATAATAAACCTTACCCCACAAATTAAATATTCTTATACAAAAAAAAAAAAAAAAAAAAAAAAAAAAAAAAAATCTTAGAGTTTGGTTGATTATTTGGCGTAAACTACAATTGTAAAATATAAGAATCTAATATTTTTATTAAAAACATATAATTTTCCTTCAACAAGTTAATTTCCTACTATCAATAAATTATCATAAGGAAAATTTTTGTAATTTCTTGTCAGAAATTCGGTGAATTTTTTTCCTTATATATATTCTGATAGCATACTAAAGTCATCAATATTTCTATAGTTTTGATAAGTAAGAGCATAGCTATGACAGGTATTGTTAAAAGATTTATCTTATTCAAAGAATAATACTTTGCTAGTAATTAATAAGCTTTATATATAAATTAAGGAAGGATACTTTATTTAAGAATCGTAGCATTCTAGAAAGCAAATTATTGCTACTTTGATTCATCTTTTGCTTTCAAAGGCAGATTCACTCATAATGTTTTGGGGAAATAAACAGTGCTCAACATATTTTCCTTATTTTTTTTTTCTTTAAGTTGCGTAGACAAGACAAAGTACTCAATGCGACTCTTGGTATCTAATTTTATTATTATTTTTCTTTAAAAATGAAAAAGAAAAAGAAGAAGATGTCGATCCTTAGAATTCCAAAAGGGTAGTCGATTAGTGTTATTATATAATAATAATAATTATTATTTTAATCTAATTTTTTTTTCAGTTATAAATATTCTTAAAATTATAAATAATTCTTAAATATTAAAATTTTGTTAATTATATTTTTACCCTTACTAAATGTTAAAATTAAGCGTCTAATTATTTTTTTAGGTTTTTTTCTATGTATTTTCAAATTTACACTTAGAATTCTTATACTTTCTTTATTTGATCTTTATCCTTTGTCAATTCAACAATTCCTTGTAAATAGATTAAGGACCTCAACTTCCTTTATAAGTCTAGAAAAAATCTCCTTTTATGGGTTTAGGAAGTGAGTTTTGACACTTACATGAGAACTCTCTCTCTCTCTCTCTCTCTCTCTCTCTCTCTCTCTCTCTCTTTTTTCCTAATTAAGAGGCAAATTTATATTATGCATTGATCTTGTATCGCTTAAAATTGAAGACAAATCAATATTCAAGAAGACATTTGGTATCCTTGATCACCATATATATTCTTTTCTTGAGGTATGAAAAAGAAAAAGAAAAAGAAAAAGATGTACTAAGAGATTCCAAACAAAGACAGGGTATTTTATTAGAGTTTTTGTTTATTATTATTAAAAAAATAAAGTATAAAAAATCAGAAGTGACTTGCAATAATGCATGAATGAGTTTTAGCTGAGAGTAATTTGACTAGTACTTGGTAAGTAATTAATTTGATTCAATTACTTACATCCAAATCCAATTTTTTCAATCTCTTTCTTATAACAAAAAAGCCAGAAAGGAGAGAAGGAGGTGGAGAATCCATGGCTACTGGAACAACCATTTTGCTTGTGATAAATAAGCTAAAAGATCAGCTTCCTCATTTACAAATTGCAGATCAGACACAAGTCACACAGTCCATCGAGAAGCTAAAAGAGTCTAAGAAAATCTTGGAAGATTCAAAGGATGACCAAACAAGTCCTCTCACAATTTATGACTGGGAGATCAAGGTTCAGCAAGCAATTTATCTGACAGAAGACGCCGTAGACAAATTTCTCCTAAGTCCAAAATTGCAGAAACAGAATGTTTTCAATAAGCCTTTTTCGCGTTGCATCGACTTGAGGTCATACGATATCAAATTTCGTTTCAGCAATGAGATGAAAAAATGTATGGATCATCTAACCGACTTGTTGCCTATCGAGCGGCACACGGCAACTTTTGATGTTGATTTAAAGGATAAAATAACATATGAACTGGAAAAACCTTTACATATGGTTATCGTGACTTACCCACCGCTCTAAGGTCATGTCTCCTTAATTTATGTGTTTTCCCTAGATCGTCTGAGATCCCCATTAGAAGGTTGCTTCTACACTGGGTTGCCGAGGGACTGATGAAACCACTGGTGGGAGATGGAAATAAGCGTCCTGAAGATGACATGACCCGCCTCGACCCTCCTTACCCCATAAGCTCCGGGCGCACCTATGAGACTCGGGCAACCGAGACGTGCCATGTGGGAATCTAAAAACCTGTATTCTAAATACGTTTTTCATAAAAACATTCGCTTGGATTCGTTTTGAAAGCATAAACACATAAGATATATATATGTATACATTTGAAAATCTGAAAGCTAACTTGTACGTTCATAAAATCCAAAAACGGATGGTATCAGATATTCATATCTTTTATAATCAACACAGGAGATAAACATAAGGATAAAACATAATTCGGTAGCGATAACAAGCATGATATTTTTACACACATGATGAGTCGATGACGTAAGGGCCCAACCTCTAGAGGAATCACTCCTCAGCACGACTCTTCCTGTGAACCTGGGGAAAAGGGTCTAAAAAGGGGTGAGCTGAAAATACTCAGTGAGTGGGGGATTGGGGAGAGTTTGCAAAACATTCTTCAACAATAGTCATGGCATGCATAGTTCTTATGAAATCCAGAAAACAACAGATTCTATGAAGTGTTATGGAAGTAACTACAATCATGTATGCATGTATAACTCGTTTTCTAAAATTGTTCTAAGTACTGTAATCTCATATTCAAGCTGAAAACAATTCTGAATTATAGCTCATCATTGAATGCTTAAAAATCTTTTTCTAGAACTTAAAACATAACTATAAGTGCTTATGCTCTGGGAACAATATTTCCTGCAAGGCATGCTGCAACCATCTATGTCATCCCTCAAGAATGCATGATCATGAAAATAATAACTCTACTAGTCATGCTACAAACATCCAAACCATCATTCATGAAACATCATGGTTCACAAAACAAAATCTGGTAAATAAATTTATAACTGCGTGTGATGATAAAATTGAAAACTGATTTTTCTGAAACTAGCACTGAAACTGATTTGGAATACTGTAAACTTTATGCTGATAACTGAACTTTAAATTGGATACTGTAGCTTTTACTGATACTGAAAAATATAAGTTGATACTTATTTCGAAACTGTGGCTAATACTCAAAGCTCTCTAATAAATATTCTGAAAACCCATATTGAGACTATCACTCATAGCTGATACTAAAAATTTAATGTGATTTTGAACATTCTAAAACTGATTATGATGTTAATAACAGAAAAACTCTCACCGCAACTAGTACCCTCGGGAAATCTGTCTTACCTGGTGGGCTTCTCGCACGCAAGCAAAGCAAGGGATGTAACCTGTCATACCCGGCAAGATCTATCATCGCGCGGGCGGAGCTACTGAAATGTCATACGGCGGACCACTCAACGCCCAGACAGAGCCAATAAAATCTGTCATACCTGGCGGACCACTCAACGCCAGGCAGAGCCAATAAAATCGTCATACCTGGCGGACCACTCAACGCCCAGGCAGAGCCAATAAAATCTGTCATACCTGGCGGACCACTCAACGCCCAGGCAGAGCCAATAAAATCTGTCATACCGGCGGACCACTCAACGCCCAGGCAGAGCCATAAATCTGTCATACGCATGCGCAGAGCCAAAATCTGAAACTGTCATACCCGGCGGGATCCTGCATCGCTCGGACAGAGCCAAAAATCTGTATCTCTGGGGGATGGGTACTTTGTAGGGTGGTTTTAGCACCATAACAATCTCATGCATAATCTCAAGTAACATGTAAGTCAAGAGCATATTTCAACAACTTCATGCAAATCTCAAGTAACATATAAAGTCAAGAAACATACCACATATGTGCTTATAAATCATGCATATAGACATAATATTCAAAATCACATCAGGGTGAAACTGAAAATTTCCAAACATGTTTTAAAACTGACAGTTAACCCAGATTAAAAATTACTTTAACATCACATTTCCATAGCATATGTCCATCACTACATAAGATATATACCACATTTCATATAAAAGTAAATCATGCCAAATCGTAGAAATTCCATGCAAATGGGGGTAGAATGCAAGTTTTAAAACATACTTTCAAAACTGACAGAATGCACCCCTTCTCTTTTTCTTTACAAGAAACCATCTACCAAGTCACGAACCTCAACCCGTATACAATTCAACCATTCTTATTCTCAAAATTTTATCATATAGCGTGAATACATATAAATTCTATATACCAAACTTCATCAAAACATTTAAAATAAAATCATAAGTTAACAGCAAACATGGATTTAAGCTTTTGAGAGATTCGGTTTAATCCACTCACCAAATCAAGCATAATTTCAATGGGCATTCAAGACAATATATGTTGATCCAGCAATATTTTCAAGTCACTTCAGAATCAATAACTATTTAAAACACAATTTTCTTTCAAACTCATTAAATCTGCCAACTGTTTCCAGAATTGAGGTTACTGACTTGTAAATTCATAACAATTCAGCCCTTAATCTAAACCTCATGAAACTCTCCAGAATTAAACTAGACACATATAGGATTCACCAGAATTTAAAATCACTCAATTTGGATAAGTATGTACTTATTTCAGTTCTGAAAATGCATGTTCTACAGAAAACATGAAATTCCAGAATTTCATAGCGAATCAAAATTCATTAAAAAATCCATACTTCGAATTTTGGGGTGAAATCAATTTTCAACCAATCTCTAATAAGTCTAAAACAAAATAACTGAAATTTAGCTTCATTTACAAACCCGAAACATATATAAAATTTTCGGAGTTCGGACTGTCAGAATTTCACAGCATAACTTTTATAATAAAAAACATACTTTAATAACTCTTAGTTCTAGGATCAACAATATGCTGTATAAAACTATTGCATTAAATCTCCAATTTCAGTTAACCACAATAGTCAGCCACCCTATCAACATACAACTTCCCAATTTCTTTTCTATTCGCAAACATTATGTATATGCATAAAATGCACACAGCATGCCAAGTTCAGCATTTCTAATTCTGCCCATTTTATAACCTTTCTCCATCTACTCTTCAAATCAAAACAACACACAAATCATTCTATGGTAAACAATATTCCAATAATCAACATAACTTTTAAATGCGTGACACAATAAACATCAAGTACCATGCACTTGAAAAATGCAAACTTAGAAAAGGATTCAATGCATTTTCCACTCACAAAAATTTCCAGATTCATCAAGACATGGTGCTAGAATCGAAACGAAACTGGACATGCAGCACTTTAAAATCAGCTCAGCGCCACATGCAAGACAGATTTAACAAGATATCACACCAAAATTTGGATCAAAACTATAATAGAAATCAACACTTTACATGCAAACAGGAATTGAGTTTTTAAAAGAGTTTTTGGCTGGTCCACTCAATGTTCTAACAACCGAAGCTCCCGCACTCTCCTCCACTTTCTCTCTCACTCTACCATTTTTCAGCCGCCCCCATTCCCTCTCTTCTCCGTTTCTTTTTTCTTATCTGGCGAAAATAGCCTCCCCTTTTTTTTTTTTTTTTTTTTACTTTTTTTTCTGCTCTGCTCTCGCTTTCTCCCTCTGCTCTCGTCTCTTCTCTTCATTGGGCAAAATCAGCCCCTTTTCTTTCTTTTTATATTTTTAATCTTTCTAAATTTATGCTTCTGCCCCTAGATTAAGGTAATCCCGCTAAACCCCTACACATCAGCATTTCTTTCAAATAAACCTCCAGATTTTGCCCCTGTTACATGCAAACCCAGCAGCTTCCTTATCTTGCAATTTCATTCCCAATAAAACTTTTAAACCGAACAGAAATCCCCTTCCATAAAAATAAAATCACACAGAATATGTAATATGTATTAGGATTAAAAACGGGGTTTCACAGAAGATGTGGCAGAAAATTGTTTGGAAGAACTAGAGCATAGGAAGATGGTCCTGACAGAAAGATGTAGGTTAAAGGGAAGGACTAAAACATGTCGCCTGAAAAATGATATATACGATTTGCTCTGTCCAATGTCTGAGAGAATGGGGTATTTTCACCTCCATCCGGAGCATTCACATTCAAAAAATAAATCACCAAACTTTATCTTCCGCACGCTTGTAGCTAATGCAGACATCAAGAAGAACTCTTTTTCAGATAGACAAATTCAACATCTTCGTTCTTATATATCCTTTAACTGTCGAAAGAAAGGTAAACCTTCAGATGAAACAGGAAAGTTTCTGAACAAGATAATTAGTAGAGGCTTTGGATTGCTAACACTGCTCGATCTAGAAGGTGTATACAAGCCGGCGCTACCTCAAACACTCGGAAAAAACCTGGCCCTTCTAAGGTACGTTGGTCTCAGGCGTACTTTCCTGAAAAAAATTCCAGAGTCAGTTGTTCATATTCCCTGTATGGAGACTTTAGATCTTAAACACACTTTAATAACCTCATTGCCCATTTCCATTTGGAAGGCAAAGAACCTTCGGCATCTCTATATGCATGGGATTTATTTTGAAATTGAAACCTTTGGCTATGAGTTTCCAACCAACCTTCAAACCCTATGTGGCCTAATGATAGGCGATAACAGCCCAACAATCAACTGGTTGAAAAGGTTTAAGGATCTCTGGAAATTGGGACTGATATGTCACACAGAATCGATTAACCAAATAGTTTATTGGATTTCTCAAATGACCGGTCTTCGTTCTTTGCGGTTAAAATCAGTAAATGACAGTAGTAAACCTTCATCCCTCCATATTCCTATCACAATCAGCGGTATACCCAACACGCTGACAAACTTGTATTTGGTGGGAGAGATGAGTCTATTTGGCGAAATATTTTTTGTCCCAAATCTCAGAGTTCTTACATTGTCAGCGTCACAACTAACTCATGACCCAATGCCGATACTAAAAGGGCTAGAACACCTTATAGTCCTCAGGCTTTTCGCTAATTCCTACTCAGGGAAAGAAATTACTTGTGGCACTTGTGGATTTCCCCAACTTCAGGTTTTGAAGTTGTGGATGTTAATGGAATTGAGCAAGTGGACTATCAAAGAAGGAGCAATGCCTGCGCTAAGAGAATTAGAGATCAGACACTGTGAAAAACTGGAGAAGCCAATTGGGTTGGAGGAGGTGACTACCCTGGAGAAATTGACCTTAACGAGTATGGACAAGGATTTTGTGGATGAGATTAAAAGAAGCGTTGGTCAAAACGTAGACGACGTTGAGAACCACTGGAACTTTCCTTTATTTGTGAGTAGTTTTCATCCTTTTAATTTCCATGTTAATCTTTTTGTTTTCCATTATGTTTAATTTTTCATGGCTGTTCTTCCCATGTCTTTTTATTTCCATCTCAGGATTAATCATGAATCATTGACGCAAGGAGTCTCTGTAAGATAGTTTTGTTTTCGGGCGCAGGAATCTTTACTTAGGCCCCAAATGTTTCTTGATTGTTGCGGTTCCTTTGGGCTCAACCCTCCTTCCCAAATCCCAAGCGATGTGGTATTTAACCAACTTAGGTCCCTCTTCCCCAAACAATATGAAATATCTCAATAATTGGGACATGTTCCCCCAATAGTCAAGATGTGTTTTGGGTCTAAATAAAGGTTCTTGGACTTGAAAATAAAATCGTGAGGGGTTAGATTTCGAAGTCGGACTATCCAGGCTTTTAAAACGGATAATATCTTAACAATGTTGGCCGACAATGGGCCGAGGTGTTACAGTCTCAGTCGAAATCCAATCCCATGGAAGAAGAAGAACAGCTTGGTGTCATTTGACGTTTGCATTGCAGCTCGAGAACTTTGGTATTTTTCTGTCTTTTTTTTTCACCATTTTTTTCTGTAAATTAACGATATCAAATTAAAAATGAAATAAGAAATTTGGTTTTGTGTTTTCAAAATTTGAAAATATGTTTATCATCGTTTTTGTAAAACAGTATCTGAAAATAAAAACAAGAAAAATGCTCAATATATAATACTAACGCTGATGAACAAAATGGACTCCAATTTTTGGGCTTGATCGTCAGTTCAGTTGAGACAAGGGGGAGAGTTTCTAACTCGTGTGGCTTCTTGTGGCTCATTTTGGGATGATTGAGCAGTTTCAGATATCGCAAAGCCATGGGACACCTTAATTGTTGTAGTTTTAATTAATTTTTGCTTTTGATATGTTTATTTTATTCTACTTCTTCACTTGGTTTCATATTTTTGTAATTTGGTGTGTGTCTAAAATCATAGCTAATAAACCATTTGACTTGTGGTGGGATGATAAGTCCTTAAATTATCTAAAAGTTTTGTGTTCGAGTCATATTAAATAACTATTTAGGCACTTATCATATTTGTGACTTATCTAGACCATAGGCAACCCAACCTTGACAAAAAAAAAAAAAAAAAAAAAAAATGGTTCAATGGACCTTGGGGGAATTAGAGTTACAAGTTTGGGATTTACTACTACCAATCAGGGACACCCAAAAAAAAAAAAGTTCAATGGACCCCGGCAGAGTTAGAGTAACAAGTTTGGGATTTACTGCTGCCAATCAGGAATAAAACCAGTATTTCTTTCTAAATTGGGTTAATTTTTTTTTTTTTTTTTTTTTTTTTTTTTTTTTTTTTTGTTTTTTTTTTTTTTTAAGTGAACCTTAACAGTATGAAAATTTCATTAGTAAAAAAATACATATATATATATACCCCTCAAATTGAATATCTTATACAACCAAAATTCAATAGTAACTAAATACGTAATGCATATACAAAAAAATAATATTAAAATTATGCTTAAAGAGTTTTTTTTTTTTTTTGGGTTGATTATTTGGCGTAAACTAAAATTATATGTTATTCTTTTATTTAAAAATGAAAAAGAATTGATATCGATCCTGAGAATTCCAAAAGGGTAGGTAATTAGTGTTTTATTTTAAAGAATTTATTATTATTATTATTTTAATCTAAATTTTTTTTTTTAGTTACAAATAATTTTCAAATATTAAAATTTTGTTAAATTATATTTTTACTCTTACTAAATGTTAAGATTAAGCGTCTAAATATTTTTTTAGGTTTTTTTCTATGTATTTTCAAATTTGTGCTCTTCTTATGAATTCCTAAAAAAAATTGTTGTAAATTGATAAATTGATAATAGCCTTACATTTTACCACCCCTTGGTTTGTAAAATACAACCCATGATTTTGTCATAATCACTTAACCCGTCAGTTTTATCATAAAATGTACCCTATGGTTTTGCATGAATATAGTTCACCCCTTTCTTTTGTCTTGTATCATTTCACCCCTAATTTTCGCAATTTATCTAGTTCATTTTCACCTCTCGGTTTTGGAGTTAAATATTTGGTCATGAGGTTTAACTAAGTTAGGTGACGTAGGTCCAAAAAATCTGATAATAACACTTACATCCTTAAAAATAAATAAATAAACGAAAATAACAATAAAATATTATAATCTTATCTTAGTAAATGATATTAAACAATTAAAAGAATTATAAAAAAAAATGAGTAAATGACTTGTTACCACCCAAGGTTTAGCGAAATGCAAGGTTAGTACTCCTGGTTTCATAAATTCTAGATTCACACCCTTAAATGGATGTCGTAACACAATTTTTCGGCCAGATTCCGACGGTGGTGGCCGGAATCTGGCACAGCGAGTGGCAGGGGTGTTTTTGTTATTTTATAAAATTTTTATATATTGGGGTATTTAGTCAAATTAGCAAACCTAGGGGGTTTTTTAGAAATTTTTAAATTTATAAAAAGCTAAAATATTAAACTTTCAAGGGCATTTTAGTCTTTTCACTATTATCAAACGAAAATCACTAACAGAACATGACGAAAGGTACCTATTTGTCGTTTCAAAACCTTTTGAGTACCAACTTATCGTTTAGACAAATCTTGGGTATGTGTAAGTCATTCTGCCTTCTTTTAAAGAACCAAACAAGGGATTGGGAGTGAGATTCCTGTTCCCTTGCCCATTCACCTCAAGCTCTGATTTAATGTTAAAGGTTACGCAGTTAGTTATGTAATGGTAGGTCTAATACAATGAATAATTGAATTTAATAAGAGACTTGGATGTTGTTTAATTTATGAAAATTGGTGTGAGCCTTGCCCAGTTGTTTCCTCTATCAAAGTCCACACATTGACTCATAATTGTATCAACTGTTTTGAGTGAACTTGCTTGGTCAGACATTTTCGCGCCTGCGCACACACACGTATGTAAATTTTCTCCTAAATAAACTTACCAGAATATGATTCTAAGTTATATATATCTATATCTGTGTGTGTAAATTTTCTCCAAAATAAACTCACCAAAAAATGATTCTCAGTTCATTAATGGCTCCAAAAAGAGTTATGCTTGCAGCGTTCTTTTTCATCTTCTCTTTAAAATTCTACTCAGCAAAAACAGAAACTTGGGTTAAAGGTGGTTACTGGTATTCAAGAAGCGAGATCCCGAGTTTAGGCATAAATTCTACTTTCTATACACACCTTCATTGTGCTTTTGCTGATGTAAATTCAACCTCTTATGAACTCTCTTTATCAGAGTCTGATGAGAAACAGTTCTCCAATTTCACAGACACTGTGAAACAGAAGAACCCATCAGTCGTGACTCTTCTATCAATTGGGGGTGGAGATGCAAACTATTCAACTTTTTCTTCAATGGTGAGTAATTCATCTTTCAGAAAATCTTTCATTGATTCTTCAATAAGAACGGCCAGGCTTTATGGCTTCCAGGGCCTGGAACTTGGTTGGGCTTCCGCAAACTCTAGCTCTGATATGTACAACATGGGAGTTCTCTTTGAAGAGTGGCGAGCCGCTATCAAGTTGGAGACAGGAAACTCTAGCCATGCACAACTTATATTGACTGCAGCTGTTCGCTTTCAACCAGGTTTAGATTCAAGAAGCTTCCGTGTAGAAGCGGTGGAACAGTACTTGGATTGGGTTACTGTTCAGGCTTTTGACTACTACACGCCTCAGCGGTATAATTTCACTTCCGCTCACGCTGCTTTGTATGATCCAACTAGTAATGTTAGTACTGATTATGGTATAAGCGCTATGATTAGCAGAGGACTTTCTGCTAATAAGATGGTTTTGGGTTTGCCTTTCTATGGTTACGCGTGGACGCTTGCAAACCCCGCGGAAAATGGTATTGGTGCCCCAGCAACTGGACCAGCAATTAGAGAAGGTGGAGCCATAAATTATAAGGATATCAGGGATTATGTTCTGAGATATGGGGCTAATGTTAAGTACAACGCAACTTATGTGGTGAATTACTGCAGCGTCGGGTCAACTTGGATTGGTTTTGATGATGTTGAGGTTGTCAGAATTAAGGTTGCTTATGCCAAGAAGAAGAAGCTACTTGGTTACACTGCGTGGGAGGTCTCCTACGATGATAACTGGATTCTTTCTCAAGCTGCAGGTAAGTGATCAGAACTTAATTCACCAAGAAATCTGTTTGATTGTTTCTATCTATTGTGTAATTACAACCAAATCAACAATTATTAAGTGCCTTCACCAATTTTTTATGTTATCACTAGTTCCATAGCCGGCACACATAAGGCAAAACTATGACATTATTTATTCATCAGATGACTAGATTTTTTGATCAAACGAAGGTATAAGTATGAGATATGAATTAATTGTCATTTATCGACAGAGAATGACATAATGTTAAACAATTAATGCTTGACAGGTATGAGAATGATATAGTAGTTAGAGCAGTTGTATTGACATATGGCCATTTATAGAAGGCCGAATGACTCTTCCCACCCCAAGTTTGCCCTAAAGATAATTTCATACCCAAAAAGTTTGAAAACGACAATTATCCACTAACCATTAAGATTTGTATGACAGTTTCCACCCTACCGTTAAGAACAGTTAGTAAAATCCGTTTAAGGAAGGATATGATGGTAATTTTCTGAAAATAACCTGGCGCTGAAGAAGAAGGTCATAGTTGTCGAGCAGGTTGTGTGCGTGCCGAAAAACATTCGAAGCTGACAGTGTTGAGGAGTGCTGACGACCGGGAAAAAGTCAACACACAAGCAATAACACTTCTACAACAAGAATTCTAACAACAAACTTCAGATGAGCCCAAGATCATCCACAAAAGAGTGCAGCCTGCTAGGTTGGTTGGGGACTTTCCACAAACAGTTGGAGGGCGTCCAAAGAGTGTGTGGTGGATGACAAACGGTGAGCAGGGGTGGTAGATGGAAGGTTGGATTTTGAAGAGGGGTTGATGGGGATTTGAATCGTGGTAGAATGGTGGATTTCCAGAGTGAATATCGATCGGAATCCGACCTCAAGTATGGGTAGTCGCAAGGAAGAATGGTGGTCGGGTTTTCGCGATTAATGGGTGCACCGGTGTTGGAATTAGGCGGGTTTCAGTGAGGGAGGGCCAAGAGGGTGGGTGGAGGTGGTTTTGGGTGGAAAAATGGCCGAAAAAGTGGCCAAATGCCGGTGGCAATGCTTGCTACAATTCGCCATTGAGATGAAGAAGAAAAAGGGAGGAGTTAGGCTATGTTTGTTTTGTTTTTCCCAATCATATCCTATCCAATCATACTCAAAATGCATATTTGTTTCAATATTCTCAAAATCTGATCATATTCTATTCAACTCAAAATATTTAGATTTTTTTAACTCCCTAGATTTGTTAATTTAACTAAACACCCCCAACAACAAAAGTTTATAAATTGACAAAAACACCCCCACCCACCCACATATTCCCGATAGTCGGCAACCATCGCCCGAATGTAGCTGGAATTTGCTGGAATGACGCACGACCGGCTAGATGTGACGGTTGTGCGCCAATCTGGCCGAAAACATGGATCTGGCTGGAAAAGGTTAGATTGGTGCATGACTGGCTAGATCCAGCCAGTCATGCACCATTCCAACAACTTTCGACCACCCTTCGACAGTGGTGGTTGGCTACCGACATTTAATGGGTGGATGGGGGGGTTTTTGTTAATTTTCAATGTTTTATTGTAGCAGATATTTATCTAAATTAATAAATGCAAGGGATTAAAAAATAATCTAAATATTTTTAGAAAATGTTTCCCAAAAATTTACCAAACACATTTTCAAATTCAAATCTTATTCTAGTAATAATAACCCAACTCAATTTGTTCATAAATACTACTTAAAATACTCTACCAAACACAACATATATATGTAAGGTAAAATAACATAATACTGTTTTTGAATTTATGTCGTTTTCAAACTTTTTGAGTACGAAATTGTCTTTAAGGCAAATTTCATATGGGAAGATGTCATTTGGCCTTTATAAAAATAATAGAACACCAAGTTTTACCCATTGAAAAATTGATTGACAAGTTGGGTAAAGATTATTTTTTATGGAAACTCTTGGTAACTGTTAAAAGATGAACCATTTTCGGTTGAAGGAGTGATTGCCATGGCGGTGGAAAAAGGATGCCGCGGCGAGCATGATAATGTTCTCTGAAACAGATCAAAGAACGATCGCTGCAGCAAGCATTAGGCAATTGACGATCACTGCAGCGAAATTTTCTATCGTTGCAGTGAGCGTTACTTCATGAAGATAGAGACGTTCAGGTTTCTTTTGGATAACTGTTGGAGAACTTATAACTTCCTATTTCTAAACTGATTGTTCAGTTATCTATCATTATCTAAACTCTTAGATAAACTATATATGTATGTAATGTTGAATTGTTTCGTTAGTTTTTGTATGTAGTTGATTTTTAATGAAGCTCTTCTTTTAATCAAAAAAGTTCATCTGTCTTTTGTGTGTTCTTTGTTTATTTTTGCATTCTAACAGTAAAAAGGAAATATTTTTTCCAGCTCAAGAGGGTAATAACGGTGGAAGAAATAAGCAGCGGTTATTAGCAACTGTGTTGTCTACAACTGCAGTTGCTATTTTGCTTTTGGGCTGCTTTTTGATATATTACTTCTGGATAAGAAAGCTCAAATCAAAAGGTGACTTGTCCAGCCATAATGCTTCTTATGATAAAGTGATGAATGATCATCTAATTTTTACTGCCATGTTTATTTGGTCTCAGCTAACGAAGGATCAAAGAAGAGACTAAATGACCCATCTGCAGCTGGGGATTTAAACAGCAATGCTCCTAATCTGATAACTTATAATTTTCATGACATTGAAGTGGCTACAGATAGATTTTCTTTTGAAAATAAGCTTGGGCAAGGAGGATATGGTCCTGTTTACAAGGTACATTCTATTAGGCCATTTATTCTATTGCAATTTGGTCTTCCTAGCTGATTGTGGAACATAAATTTTGTTTGTTTGTCAGGCTTTGCTACCCAATGGACAGGAAGTAGCAGTGAAGAAACTTTCAAAAACATCCACACAAGGATATGAGGAGTTCAGGAATGAGGTTATGCTTACAGCAAAGCTCCAACATGTAAATCTTGTTCGACTTTTGGGATTTTGTACTGATAGAGAAGAACAAATGTTGATCTACAAGTACATGCCAAACAAAAGCTTGGACTACTATCTCTTTGGTATTGTGAATTCTTTGGTGTAATTTTTTGCATTGATCATTTGCATTTTTTGCCTTGATTGTTGACAATTTAATTTGATGTAGATCCTATTAGACGGTATACTTTGGATTGGAGAAAACGTGTACATATTATTGAAGGAATTACTCAAGGGCTTTTATATCTGCAAGAATACTCAAGACTGACTATCATTCACAGGGACTTGAAAGCTAGTAATGTTTTATTAGATGAAGAAATGAGGCCTAAAATATCAGATTTTGGTATGGCTAGAATATTTGCAAAAGATGAACTTGAAGCAAACACAGGACGAGTTGTTGGAACATAGTAAGTATACACATTTTCTCTCAATGCAGTGGCTAAATATATATAGTATCTTATAAACTCAAGCTTGTATTGTCCAATGTAGTGGCTATGTTCCTCCTGAATACGTTAAAAGAGGCATTTACTCTACAAAATCCGATGTTTACAGTTTTGGGGTTCTAGTTCTGCAAATCATAAGTGGAAACCGAGTTTCTTTTTTATATGGTGCTGAAGAAAACTTAAGCTTGCTAGATTATGTAAGTTTCTTCATAACCATTATTATTTACTGAGGATGGTATTTTGTTCAAATTTTGTATTTGAATTGAGTGGTAATTGGTATTTGATAATTTCAGGCATATGAGCTATGGAAAGAAAACAAAGGCATGGAGTTCATGGATCCATCATTAGATGATACAGATTCCTCTTGTAAATTATTGAAGTGCTTGCAAATTGCTTTGCTATGTGTCCAGGAAAATCCAAATGATAGACCATCGATGTTGGGAGTTTTCTCTATGCTTAAACATGAAATCTCAGAGATAATGAGTCCGAAGAAGCCCGCTTTCTCAAAACAAGCTGATGAAGACAGAGAAAGTAGATCAACATTCAATGATGCAACTATTTCAGAAGTTGTAGGTAGATGATTGCAGGATTTGGAATGACCAATGTGTGATATATCCTCAGACAGTAGCACTATAGTTAGGTACTGTGACTTGCAGCAGGAACTCTAGGAGGTAAGACTCAGTTACTTCAAGCTGAACCTTTTTTCGACAGCTTCCTGAATTAATTACCCTGTTGACGCTTTAGCGAACACTAGTCATGGTATGTACTCGAGTAAAAATTAAGATCAAGAGAGAATTCTGATCTGTTCTCGTACGAGAGCATGGATTAAGCCTGGCATGCTGCTTAAAGAAAAATTGAAAGGATTAGTTTGGCCTTGGAATCATGTTATATGGTGTCTTTGAATGAGCAAATAGTAGACCAGATGCAGAAGGGCAGATGGGAAATAGTAAAAGGGATCTCAACATTACTTCTATTATCATTTTGTAGTGGATGGCAAATGAAGACTCTATCCAGGAGCTTAATAGAGATTTATGTACTTAAAACTGTAACATTTGCAACAGGGCATTTGTAAACATTTACAGAATGGGAATTTCTATAGAAGAGAAGAAGTCAATTTTGATTTCTGGGTAATTAGCACAATTGTATTGCTTGAAAGTAAAACCATAATAAAGTAAATCCTATTCAAAATTTTCTTCATTGAGTAGAAAACTGGTTTGCAAGAAGGTTAAGGTTAAGAACTTGTTCTAATATTCATATTTAATAGTTGATTTTTTTTAATGTCCGAACAATATAATTCATTCAAAAGGGTACTCGCACTTGGCTTCCTTATTAGAATCAAGTCAGCTCATAAAAGAATGAAATACATATATAGTTAAACATGGATTCTATAGTATGAACGTACGTCTTGATTTTTGAATAATTTTAATGAAATAGAGATCATGCTTATCTATTCACCTAATACAATTATATAAAGTTCTTTTTCAGCCGTCTAACTTGATCTAACTTAAATGATAAATAACTCAACTTTTATCTATTCACCTAATACAATGAATCATTCAAGTGTCTTTTTTATTTATAATGGAGTAAACAACCTTTTTTCACCCAAATAATGGCTTAATAATACTTTCCCCTCATAAACTTTTAAAATACTATTTTATTACCTAAATTTATATTCTATTTCCGATTTAGCATCGTTGTGACCCTACATCACCACCATTCTCTTTCTCGATCATCACTCACAAAAACTCCTTAAACTCTACTTCCGTCGACCCCACCAATCGTCGGCAATTGAGCAATAGGGTTTGATCAACTGCCCCTCTCAAGTCAAATTCCAGTCAATTCCAACCATCAAAATCCAACCTTCCACCATAAAAAAACTCATCGATCTTCCTTCTTTAAAACCCTAGTAGCCTGAATTGAGTTTGCTCTCTGTTTGTCGCTGGAATATAAATTTGAGTAATAAGTGGTATTTTAAAAGTCTGCGGGTGAGAAAATGTCATTAAACCATTATTTGGGTGGAAAAAAGTCTTTAACTCTTTATAATGATATGTAAGGAAATTCTTTAGTGTGAACATCTTCATTTCATTGAAAATGGCTAATAAATTACAGTTGTCTCTCTTGCCCTCTCAAAGATATCTCTAGGACATATTTCGACTTTCTTCAAGATGCCTCTCTTGACCTCTCAATTCTGACAACTATATCTAAATAAAAAAAAAAAAAAAAAAAATCCTGACATAAACATATGTATATCCATATATGTACATTTTGCATATTTTGCGACACAAAACAGCGAAGCTATTTACTTAGTTTCTTCATCTCTAAATTTTCAAAGAAATGCTTTCCAAGATTTTTATTATCTTCATCCAGGTTTTACTTGCTTTGGATCCTGGTTATGCAGAAGCACAAACCTGGATCAGAGCTGGCTATTATATAGACGGCGTCGGCGACTTCCCCATTTCAGGCGTAAATTCTTCTCTCTTTACTCACCTTTTTTGTGGTTTTGCAGATATCAATTTCACGTCCTACCAGCTTTCTTTCTCACTTTCTGAAGAAAAACAATTTTCCAGCTTCAGAGGTTGTGAAACAAAAGAACCCATCAGTTGTTACACTTCTTTCTATCTGGGGGACAAGTGCAAACTATTCAACGTTTTCTTTAATGGTTAGCGATTCTTCTTACAGAAATTCTTTTATTGACTTGTCGATAAAAATAGCCAGGCTTTATGGCTTTCAAGGCCTAGACCTCTTCTGGCTATCTCCAACTACAAGCTCTGACATGTTGAATGCGGGTGTTCTCTTGCGAGAGTGGCGAGTTGCTACCGAGTTAGAGGCTAGAAACTCTAGCCACTCACAATTGATCTTGACGGCAAGGCTTCCATGGACAAATTCAGCTGGTAATCCAGTAGGTTCCATACAACAATACTTGAATTGGGTTCATGTTCCGGCTGTTGGGTACTGGATTCCTGAGGAGACAAACTTTACAAGCCCTCATGCAGCTCTTTATGATCCAAAAAGTGTAAATACTGATGAGCTTATAAAGGCTTGGATTGTCAAAGGATTATCAGCAAATAAATTCGTTTTGTGTTTGCCTTACTTCGGCTTTGCATGTGTGGAAATAACAAAGAACGAATGAGAAGATGAAATTTGAGAGAGTAAGTTTAGGGAATCGATCTGTAGAAACTTCTTTCATTAAACAAATGAGTACAGTGAGCATCTCTATTTGTATGAATCAAAATGAAAGAGTAAACTAACTTTAGCTTAAAACGACACAGTATTACAATTGTAGCCAAAGTAAAGCCAAATTACAATTGTAGCCTTTTTGACACATTAGTCAACATTCCCCCTCAAACCAAGCTCCATTGAGTAGTGAGAGGAATTCTGAACAAATCTGATCAATATTCCCCCTCAAACCAAGCTCCAGAAGGCTGTGAGAGGAATTCTGACCAAGTCTGAGAAGAGGCAACAGAAAGGTGCTTTTGTCCCTGTTTCCAGCAACATAAAACTGTTCTATTGCACGTTTGCAGCATTTTTGACAGAGAAAAAAAAAAAAAAACCCAGCAACGTCACAGAACTGAACTGAAACCTCACTGATTTACTGCTTCTTTTTGTAACCAAAGTAACAATAAAAACTAAATTGAACTACTGTGAGCCTGATCTGAGCTGTGCTCATTTGTGCTGAAATACCACTAAGTACTAAGCTGCTTCCTTTTGCATCAACCAAAATAACAAAAACTGAACTGCTACACATTTTAGCACTAAGTACTGAGCTGCTTCTTTTTGCATCAGCCAAGATAACAAAAAACTGAACTGCTGCACCTTTGTGCTCCAATAAAAAACACAAAAAACAAAGAGCAACTGAGCTAAACACAACATTCTCCTTTGTGCACTTCTCAAAATATAAAACAAAGTGCAACTGATGCTTCTCCTTTGTGAACCTCTCAAAATACAAAACAAAGTGCAACTGATGCTTCTCCTTTGTGAACCTCTCAAAATACAAAATAAAGTACAGCTGAACTGAAATACCACAAACTGAGCAGGTTATGAACTGCTGCACCTTTGTGCTCCAATCAAAACTGAACTAAAACACAACATTCTCCTATGTGTACTTCTCAAAATACAAAACACAGCAAATTGTGAAGCAGACGATGCAACTGAACTGAAATACCACAAACTGAGCAAATTATGAAGACTTAACCTCAGCTCTGATCACAACTGTCAATAAGCAGACAATGCAACTGAACTGAAATACCACAGACTGAGCAGATCATGAAGACTTAACCTCTGCTCTGCTCACAACTGTCAATAAGCAGACAATGCAACTGAACTGAAATACCACAAACTGAGCAGATTATGAAGACTTAACCTCTGCTCTGCTCACAACTGTCAATTTATGTCTTAGTTCAGCAAATTGTGAAGTAGACAATGCTTTAGTTAAGACATCATCTATTTGAAGTTTAGAGGGTACACATTGAATAACAACCTTATTGGCTAGTACTTGCTCTCGGATATAATGTGCATCTATTTCGATGTGTCTGCTTCGTGCATGAAACACCAGATTAGAGGCCAAAGTTGTTGCACTAATATTATCACACCAAATCACAAGTTTGGTGTGGACAAGATTTCCCAACTCAGCAAACATACTCTATAATCAGGCCACTTCTGTGGTAGTTTGTGCTAAAGCCGTATATTCATCTTCGGTGGAAGATAGAGCCTCAACCTTCTGTTTTCTTGAGCTCCATTGAATCAAATTAGGGTCCATATATACACAACAGCCACTAGTGGATCTTCTATCCTCTAAATTGCTACCCCAATCAGCATCAACATAACATTCAATAGTGAGAGGATGGGCTGATTGAAAATGCAGTCCATAATCAAGTGTCCCTTTAACATATCGAAGAATTCTCTTGCATGCTTGCCACTGAAGATCAGTAGGGGCAGATAGAAACTGACTTAGTTTATTAATAGGAAAGCTAAGATCAGGTCTTGTAAGAGTAAGATACTGAAGGGCCCCTATGGTGCTTTTATACAGACTAGGGTGCTCAAAAATATTATTGTCGGCTAAGAATAACTTTGTCCCTACAACCATGGGAGTGGAGCAAGCATGAGCATCATTCATTCTTGTCTTAATTAAGAGATCAGAGGCATATTTGGTTTGCTTCAAGTGAATACCACTACAAGTCCTTGTAGCCTCCAACCAAGAAAATAATGCAAAGATCCAAGAGCCTTAAGAGCAAATTGATCATTTAAACTTTGCATGAGTTGAGCAATATAGGTCGAACTAGAGCCTATTTGAAGAATATCATCAACATACACTAAGACATAGATAAGTAAAGATCCTTGCTTAAGAGTGAATAAACTAGAATCTGAAACAGAATTCAGAAATCCTTGGCTGAGTAAAGCTGATTTTAACTTGTAAAACCAAGCTCTTAGAGCTTGTTTGAGCCCATAGAGGGCTTTGTTCAGTTTGCACACATAAGAGGGTTGAGTTGAATCCCCAAAAACGACAGGTTGCTTCATGTAAACCTCTTCATTCAAAGTACCATTCAAAAATGCATTATTAACATCAACTTGCTGCACATCCCATCCATGTGTAATAGCTAAGGTAAAGATGATTCTAATGGTGGAATGTTTGACTATAGGACTAAAGGTTTCAAAGTAGTCAAGGCCAAGAGTTTGCTGAAAACCCTTTGCCACTAACCTAGCTTTATACTTCTGCAATGAATCATCAACATTGAATTTTGTTCTAAAAACCCACTTGTTCCCCACCACATTCACATCAGAAGAAAGGGGAACTAATGTCCAGGTTTGATTGTGCACCAGAGCATCAAATTCAAGTTGCATTGCCTCTTTCCATTTAGGATTAGCTGAAGCCTCAAACACTGTGACAGGTTCTGGTGCAATAATATTCTGTTCTATAAGTAGAACAGTGGAAGGATGGACTTTAGCACTGGAAGGAAAAGATGTAGCAGCTGCTTTGGCTCTTGTCACCAAAGGGTGGTTATTAGTAACGGCTGGCTGTAAGGGGGTATTAGAAACAGATGGCTGAGGTGGTAGGGTAGGTTGTGGAGCTTCAGAGAATTTTGATAATGTAAGATCAACCTCAAGTAAGCAAGGTGGTAATACTGATGCTGATGGTAGGACAGGGAGAGAAGAAATGTCAAGGGATGCCTTTTCTAAAGGTTGAGTAGTAAAAGAGTATAGAGAATTGGGACTAAAAGAGGTACTGGGAGAAGATTTGGATGATGTTCTAAGGCTGATAGAGCTAATATCTGGTGTAGGGGTGATGTGAACAGGACAGGAATGGTCTGATGTTGAAGTGCTATTAGTAGACTGTTGTAATGAGCTTGGCACTGCAGAGGGAAAAAGAGCCTGACCTGTTGAAGAGGTAGAAAGGGGAGAAAGAATAAAAGGAAAGGATTTGCTATTGTCAAAAGAAATAGTGGACTCAGAAGAGGACTAAGGAATGGTAGTGGAGGAAGTACTACCTTGTGAAAAAGGGAATTCAGACTCATTGAATTTGACATAGGGAGTAATAATGATTTTTCCATCTGGTTTCAAACACTTATACCCTTATGAACCAAACTATAGCCTACAAACACACATTTTGTACAATGAAACTGAAATTTGTGTTTATTAAAAGGTCTAAGGAAGGGAAAGCATGAACAACCAAACACTTTCAAAGACCCATAAACTGGTTGAACTTGAATAACTGCTGATGAGGAGACAAATAAGCTAGAGTAACTGTAGGCATTTTATTGATGAGAAAAATTGTAGTTTCAAAGGCTAACCACCAAAACTGAAGGGGCATAGATGCATGAGCAAGCAAGGTTAAACCTGTCTCGACTATGTGCCTATGTTTTCTTTCACATCTACCATTTTGTTGGTGTATATGGGAACAGGAATGTCTAAACTTAATGCCTAAGTCAATGAGGTAAGAATGCAATGCAATGTACTCTCCTCCTTGATCAGACTGTAGGCACTTAACTTTGTGGCCAAACTGCCTCTCAGCAAGAGTGTGAAACTTAATAAAAACTGATTTAACTTCAGCTTTAGTCCTAAGTGGAAAAAGCCTTGTATATCTACTATAGTCATCCAAGAATTGAACATAATATCTAAAACCTTCAGAGGAAGGTAAAGAGGCAGGACCCCATACGTCACTGTGAATTAATTCAAGTGGTGCAGTAGCTTGAGATGTGGATGATGGAAAGCTAGTAAGATGTAATTTTCCTAGCTGACATGCATCTCAAAAAGTGAATGGAGAACTGGACAATGTTTTAGACTTAAGTAAAACATTCTTAGGTAAAGTTCCAATGGTTTTCTGCAAAATGACGGAATGAGGGTGTCCTAAATGTTTATGCTATGTCATGCAATCAGTATCAACTTTATCAGCAGTGAAACAAGCAGCAACATAATTGATAGGCACTAGTTCACTCATAGCAGAAAAAGTTGCATTAGGAAAACAATGATTATTAGTATTAATAAAGGAGGTGTTACAAGGGATAGTATCATCAAGCATAGACCGAGACAGATCACAATGTAAAGCAACAGTATTCTAAACACTAGAGTTGCACAAATTCGGACAAGAGCTAAACATACCTTCACAAGAGCTAGACACTGCATTATAACTACTAGACATAACTGGACAGGACTGGGACACAACAAGACACCTTAAAGATGATTGTGGACAGAAGAAATTGGGCAAAGGAACATTCAACTGGTACAGGCCTCCCTTGAGTTCCCCTTGCAGTAATGTTACTCTGGTCAACTTGTCCTTAACATAACAACAATCAACATTAAATTCTACAACAACTTCATTATCTACAGTAAATTTGGAAATGCTTAAGAGATTCTTAGTAATGGAAGGTACACACAAAATGTTTTTAAGATATAAACATTTAGAATGAAGAATACTAGGTAGAGAAGTATGGCTAGTATGTAAGATAAGGAGATACGCACCATTACCTACTTGAAGCTGACTTACACAATCATAACTCTTATTGACACTTAGGTGGTTTAAGTCTGTGGCAACATGATCTATGGCACCTGAATCTATATACCACACAAGATCAGATGGAGTAAAAGAAGTGGCAAGAGTAGAGTGCATGGTCGGGGAATTATGTTGTGAGTATAAGCTAGCAGGTCCATTACTGTTCTTAATAAAAGATCCTGTACCAGTGGTAGCAAGAAAAGCTTGATTGTTTCTTGTCATCTATTGACTAGGAGCACCAAGAGAGGAATGTGAGACATTTTCAAACTGAGGTTGTGAAGGCTGGATTTTGCAAACTATTGTTGGTAAATTGTTGAGGTCTTGGATGGTAGTGTTTGGATTTGTAGTAGTATAGGTATTAGAGTAATGCTACTGAGGATTGGTCATTGGTACTGAGGATCCATATGCAGTGGATGAACCATAGACAGGGGAAGACTACTGAACATTAGGCATTTGTGGTGGTGGACCATAAACATTGTGAGTTGGTTGTTGAGTTCCATTAAAACCACTATTATAGGCTGAATTGAAATGATGATAGCACTGGACAGCCGAGTGACTAGCCTTGTTACAAACTTGACAGATTAGTCTATTTTTGCCAAAGCTTCTACCTCTGCCTCTTCCATACGATTGGAAACCAGCAAGTTTGGAGTTAAACATAGGAAAAGATTGTTGCTTTGAGCTGCTATTATAATTCTCAGTTGCTGGAACAACATACTATTGCTAATAGTGTGGATTTCCTAACAAGATGAGTAAGGGAAAAACAAAAGGATGTGGAACAGGAGGAGGTTTAGCATTGGAATGTGAATTAGCTGAGGAAGCTACATTAGTCATATCACTAAGTACTCCAAGATTGCTAACAGATGCTTAATTGGCAGAACTATTATAAAAATCAGTGGAGTTAAATTTTTCCAATCTAACCTCATACTTTTGCAATAAAAACTGAGCCTCCTGCAATGTGACAGTATCAACCTTCGATTCAAGCCTAGAGGTAAGGTTCACCACTACTACATCATATTCAGGCCCTAGACCATCTAAGACATATTGTAAGAGATCTTTATCAAAGACAACCATTCCACTAGCAGATAAGCTCTCAACTATTTCTTTCATTTTCTTTATGCAATCTCCAATACTCAAATTGCACTTGTGTGTTGTCTGTAAAATTTTTTTGAGGTGTAATGCTCTTGCTTTGTAATCACTTATAAACTCACTTGCAAGAGCAATCCAAATTTCTGTAGAGTGACGACAATTAGACACAACTCCAAACATACTCTCAGATATAGAGGCCAGAAGCCAGCTTACAAGGAATTTATTAGTACGTTTACACATAACATTTACAAGATTCAACTTATCACCAATAGAATCAGAACTAGTTTTAAGGTCGCCTCTAAGTTGACCTAGGTCACTATCAATTTTAGAATTAGACAGTAAAAGAGGAGAAGGACATTGAATTTTACCAAGCAAATGATCCTCAAGCTCATGTGATCCAACCGTAAATAAGACTTTTGAGCTCCAAAACTGGTAATTGCTGTGTGTAAGCTTCAGATTGATAACTTGTAAGCTTGAGGCTTGAGCTGAGGTGGAGCAATTTGCAGATTCTTTAAGAATTTGTGAGGTGGAACGCTGAACAGAATCTCTCAACATCTCTTCGAAGCTGTTAAACAAGGAAGAGGAGCTAGAATCTTCTCCAGAATCTTTCACCATTGACGTTTGTCAATGCTCTGATACCATGTGGAAATAACAAAGAATGAATGAGAAGATGAAATTTGAGAGAGTAAGTTTAGGGAATCGATCTGTAGAAACTTCTTTCATTAAACAAATGAGTACAATGAATATCTCTACTTGTATGAATCAAAACGAAAGAGTAAAGGAGCTTTAGCTTAAAACGACATAGTATTACAATTGTAGCCAAAGTAAAGTCAAATTACAATTGTAGCCTTTTTGACACATTATTCAACAGCATGGACGCTTGCGAATCCTGAGGACAATGGTATCGGTGCACCTGCAATAGGGCCAGCTGTTACAGGAGATGGACTGCTAAATTATAAGGACATCAAGGATTTGATTAAGCAATATGGAGTTAATGTTTTTTTTTTAATGCAACTTATGTGATGAATTACTGCATAATTGGG